TCGAGCGCGGCCGCACCCCCCGGGCCCTCCCGGTCTGGGGCGCCCCCGCCTGAGCGCTCGGGGCCTTTGAGCCCGCGCCTAGGGGGGCGGGGGTCGCCCCAGTGTGAAGACGCAGTTATTCCCGTGTCTGGGGAGAGGCTGGTGCTCTGGTGACGCGGAGAACGATGAGGTGGGAGGAAACAACACCGGGGTTCTGGCGGTGTTACATTATAATTCTCTGGCTGCGGAGGTTGAGGAAGTCAGCAGGAACGCGTCTTGAAGTTGAGAACGGCGTTCATTTTCTTATTACCATTTGAGGTTTCTCGTGAATTCACCAATTTAGGAAAATGACTTGAATTTTTTTTCTTTTAGTCTTAGAGGATCACGCTTTAAACCTCCGTAACAAAGTAATGTATTTGTATCCCTCTCTCCACTCCGCGGTCCAAAAAAAGGAATCCGCTGGCTCTCAGAAAATAAGAATATTCAGCCCTTAGCTTTGCTCGCCTTTTAAATAATTATCCTTAGAGTGTGACGTGTGATTAAAAATTCTTTTCTTAGTCTTATAATAGGACATAGCTGTAATGATCTGAATTTTTCTTTCAGCTTATCGTGAAGACGAAGAGGAGCTCTCTAGTTCAACAGACTGTTTAAAGAAGAGGACTACTTCTGTACACACAGTTTTTATTACCTTCCAATAATTGGATCAGAAAATGAACCCAACTAATCCTTTCAGTGGGCAGCAGCCTAGTGTTTTTCCAACATCTAGTAGTTCCATAGGAACGTTTCAGGCTAGGCCAGCGTTTCGATTTGGTCAGCCTTCTCTTTTTGGACAAAACAGTACATTACCTGGGAAAAGCTCAGGATTTTCACAGGTATCTAGCTTTCCAGCATCTTCTGGAGTAAGTCATTCTTCTTCAGCGCAGACAGGATTCTCCCAGACCTCGAATGTTGGACTCTTTTCTGGACTTGAACACACTCCGGCTTTTGTAGCTACTTCTGGGCCTTCAAGTTCATGTGTGCCTGGAAACCCGGGATTTAGTTTTAAATCACCCAACCTTGAGGCTTTTCCAAGTACTTCTACTTTTGGACCAGACACTGGAGAAATAGCAAGTTCTGGTTTGGGGAAAACCGAATTCAGCTTTAAACCTCTCGAAAATTCAGTGTTCAGACCAATATTGGGGACTGAATCAGAGCCAGAGAAAACTCAGAGCCAAATTACTTCTGGATTTTTCACGTTTTCCCACCCAATTAGTAGTGGACCTGGGGGACTGACCCCATTTTCTTTTTCTCAGATGACAAGTAGTTCAGCTACCAATTCAAATTTTACTTTTTCAAAACCAGTTAATAGTAATAATTCGTCATCTGCCTTTATTCCTGCTTTGTCAAACCAAAATGTAGAGGAAGAGAAGAGAGGCCCTAAATCACTGTTCGGAAGTTCTGGTAGTAGCTTCACCAGCTTCCCCACATCTTCAGGGTCTTTGGGTGAACCCTTCTCAGTCAGCAAAACAGGTGTCAGACAAGGATGTGAAGAAGCTGTTTCCCAAATGGAGCCACTTCCCAGCCTCATGAAAGGACTGAAAAGGAAGGAGGACCAGGATCGCTCCCCAAGGAGACATGGCCATGATGGGGCAGAAGACTTGGACCCTCTGTCAAGGGGCGATCATCCCCCAGATAAACGACCTGTCCGTCTCAGTCGACCCCGGGGAGGCACTTTGTTTGGTCGGACGATACAGGATGTCTTCAAAAGCAATAAAGAAGTAGGTCGCCTGGGCAACAAGGAATCTAAAAAGGAAATTGGCTGTGCCGAGTCTGGGGATAATGACCACTTCGCCATCCCAGGAGGGAGTCAATCTGTCCTTGCACCTTCCCGGCTTCCAGGTGTGAATAAAGAGGAAGAAACCGAAAGTAGAGATAAAAAAGAAGGTGAGCTCTAAAAATCTACAACATTCAGTAAATCTTGCTTACAAGTTCTTGGTAAATTTCCCTGGATGTATGCTTGATTTTTCTGGAAAATCCCCTGTAAACATTAGGGATCCTAACATACCATTGGATCTCGGAGCAGGTCTTACACCCATGAAGATTTCCTTTGCTGGTACATAATTAGAGCCTCCTGTTGTGTGAAAACGTTCCATCTAGTAAGTTTCCGTGCCTGTTCTCTGATCCCCTAGATTCTCTCCGAGGAACTCCTGGGCGTCAGAGTAAAAGAAGCGAGAGCACAGACAGTCTTGGGGGCTTGTCTCCTGCTGAAGTCACGGCAATCCAGTGCAAGAACATCCCCGACTGTCTCAACAACAGAACCATTCTGGAGAAGCACTTCGGTAAAATTGCTAAAGTGCAGCGCATCTACACCAGGCGCAGCAAGAAGCTTGCAGTGGTGTATTTTTTTGATCATGTGAGTACTCCAGACAGAGGTCACTTGAACTTTGTCACTTTAAAACCTATTTTTTTCATTTATTAGTTATTTGCTTGCTAGAATGTAGGGAAATACTAGAATATATTATTCTTAACTTGGAGAGGCTGGAATGCACTATTTATTTCATAACTTGGAGTCATTTGTGAAAAGCTTTCAGTCCCTACTGAAGGCAGCATTCTAGAAATGCTGGGTGAATGATTCCCACCAAGTCAGATTCCTCTGAAATGCATGGGAGTGGCTCTGTCACCGATTACACAACGCTTTTTCAAATGTGAGTTTTCTTGTTTTGTTTTTCATTTTGTTTTATTTGATCATAGTATATGATCACTGTGAACATTCAAACAATACAGAAAAAGTAAAATCCCCTTGTAATCCCATCCTACAGAGATAACTGCTGTTAATCTTTTGGTTTATACCTTGACTTTCAATATGTGTATAAGCACATACATGCATAACACATTGGTTGTAGAGTGTATGCGTACACAGACTACTCACATTATGTAGCTTTATAGCTTTATTATTTTTTTCTGAGTATTCCTGTGTGGAAAAATTAGGTTCTGTAGGAATTTATAAAGTAGAAAACATGTTTCTATACTTTGTTAAATGATAGAAATATGGGGCCGGCCCGGTGGCTTAGCGGTTGAGTGCACACGCTCCGATACTGGCGGCCTGGGCTCGGATCCCGGGCGTGCACCGACGCACTGCTTCTCCGGCCATGCTGAGGCCGAGTCCCACATACAGCAACTAGAAGGATGTGCAACTACGACATACAACTATCTACTGGGGCTTTGGGGGAAAAAATAAATAAATAAATGGCATCCAACTGCCTAAAAAAAAAATAGTTAAAAAAAAAAAATGATAGAAATATTGCCTGTCAACTTAAGGAAGAAAACCAGAAAGACTAAAGAGTCACATTGTTTTTACACAAATGGGATCACACTGCATATACTGTTTGGTAACCTCTTCATGTAGCAATCTGTAGTATTTTCTGAACTGAAACAGTCTAGCTTAGAGTGGGATTGTTAAATGCTCCATGGCGTTCTATCCTGTTTACTTACTTGGCCAGTTTTCTATTTGTGGATGTGTTTGTGCATATGCTTCTGATTAGTTCATATTCTTTGTTTAAATTCCTGAAAGTGGAAGTTCTGTGCCAAAACATATGCACAGCTTTAGGGCTTTTGCTATTTATTCCTTTCTATGGAATTTTTTTTCAGTTCAGTGGCATTAATTACATTCACAGTGTTGTGCAACCATCCTCATTATTTATATCCAGAACTTTTCGTCATCCCACACAGAGGCTGTAACCATTTAGCAATAACTCCCCATTCCCGCCTTCCCCTGGCACCTGGTGACCTCTAGTTCACTATCTCTATGAATTTGCCTATTCTAAATATTTCATACAAGTAGAATCATTTAATATTTGTCCTTTGTGCCTGACATATTTTAATTAGCGTAATGTTTTCGAGGTTTGTCCATGTGGTTTTACTTCATTCCTTTATATGGCTGAATAATATTCCATTATATGAATGTACCACATTTTGTTTGTTTATACATTTGTCGATGGACACGGGTTGTTTCCATCTCCCATAATGCTGCCATGAACAGGGTTTGCAAATATCTTTTCAAGACCCTGCTTTCAATTCTGTTGGGTATATACTTAGGGGTGGAATTGTTGGGTTATATGGTAATCCTAATTTTTTGTTGTTGAGGAAGATTCCCCCTGAGGGGCTGGCCTGGTGGCTTAGCAGTTAAGTTTGCATGTTCCGCTTCAGAGGCCCAGGGTTCAATGGTTCGGATCCTGGGCGCGGACCTACTCACCGCTCATCAGGCCATGCTGAGGCAGCGTCCCACGTAGAAGAGTTACAACTCTACAACTGTGATACACAACTATGTACTGGGGCTCTGGGGAGAAAAAAGGAAAAAAGATTTGTCCTTAGCTAGCATCTGTTACCAATCTTCCTCTTTTTGCTTGAGGAAGATTCGCCCTGAGCTAACGTCTGTGCCAGTCTTCCTCTGTTTCGTATGTGGGTCACTGCCACAGCATGGCTGATGAGTGGCGTAGGTCTGCTCCTGGGATCCGAACCCATGAACCCTGGGCCTCCGAAGTGGAACACGCCCAACGTAACCACTACGCCATGGGGCTGGCCCCAATCCTTTTTTTTAAAAGTTATTTTTTGGCTATTGCAATGTGCTTATTCTTCTGGCGGAACCCTAAAAAATATTTATATAATAAATGTATAATATAGTATATAAATACATTGTCATTGTAAGCAATTCGTGAATGCATACAAAGCTGAGGTCCCCTGATCACCCCATCTCTCCTGTTACCTAGGAGCAAGCACAGTTTCCTAGAGTGGTGTACGTATTTCTAGACATTTCCATAGGTATATCTGTGGGTATACTAACATGTAGTTGGTTTTGTGTTGTTGTGTTTTGTGATAAATTGTATTGCATGTGTATCATTTTGCAGCTCCCTTTTGTGTTTAAGTGTGACTTGGCAGTCTTTCCATTGCTGTTTGTGTAATCAGATGGTGAGAGTCGTCTTACCAAATGGCAGCGAGGCCAAGCCTCTGGGTTCTATTCACAGTCAAGTCATTAACTTCAAAAGGGAGAAGAGCAAGTACGTGCTTGTGAGACAGGAAAGGGAGGCGAGGACCGTGGCTGCCGTGGCCGGAGGCAGGCGGCGTGGTCAGAACATGTGTGAGTGGAGCGTTGCGCTGTTGTACAGAGTTCTGCACGTTGCACTTGAGTGTTTAATCTCAGTTACTTTGGTCTCCTGAGGTCCTCATACTTTGTGTTGTGGACTGTTTTCCAGGCATCTGCAGCCCTGGCTAGGAAGAAGGGGAAAGGTTTGCATGAAGACATGGCTATCTTTTGGCACAAGAAGAAAATAAGTGAGTTTTCAGTTATTATTTGCACAGTCTCTAATGCTCTGTGTGTGCAAGGCCCTTGGAGCTTTGAGTGTGAGCCCCTTCTCCACTGCCATGGAGGGCCGGCTCCACGTGGATCCTCCTGTCTCACGGTGTTTCCTGGGGCTCCTTTGTAACCTTCTGTAACAATTACAAGAATTTTACTTTTTCAAAAAACAAGTGAAAAAGTCCAGTGTCAAATGACTTATGCTATTATAACCTCTGTTCTGACTCTTGGCGTCCTCAGGTCCCAACAAGAAACTCCTTTCCCTCACGGAGAAGACACCGGGTGATGGTGAGGCTGGCCAGGGCACGGAGGACGCCCCCTTCCAGCACGCCTCTCTGGGCAGGCCTGTGGGGAGGGCTGCAGCCGGCAGCCTGCTGAATAAGAGGTGTGGCCACTCCTTCTTGATGACTGTATGTTACACGCCGTGTGGGTGCTTTGACTTCTGATGTCTGTAAACAGGGGGGACTTCACAGCCGTCGTGCATGGGAAGTGGGGTGGTACGCTGACAACATGAGAAGGGACTGACTGATGACGGGGAGGGGGAGAGGAGGACATGGTGAGGGAGGGGACCCGGGGGCAGGAGGACTGGGGGCACACAAGAGGGGTAACCGTAGGAGTCACTTGCCAGGGCTGAGAAGAGCCTGTGGTGCTCCTCGCTCTTCTCACTTGGTCCCGTGTCCCATGCCGTTGCTGTCATACGGTTCCACCCGATGTATAAATGTAGAAGCAGTAACGTTTTCCCTTAAATTGTCTAACTGGCTGTGATAGCCAGTGTGTTCCTAGTAACCACTTCTAGCAATTTCCAACGTGACTCTGTAGGTCCAGCTTCCTTACAGTGAGGCGCCCTCCCTTGCAGCTACGTTATAATTGGGGAGCCGTGTGTGTGGCCCTCGGGTCAGGCTGGCGCTTGGTTGTGCGCTTCACACGGCCTCTCTGTGTGGGAATCTCTGTCGCCCTCCCCTCCCTGCGTGATCCCAACTTCCTCTTCACATCAGGCTGTTGCAACAGGTCTTCTATAATATCCTTCCTCACATATTTTAGCCAGTGTGTCGTTTCTGTCACTTTCCATTTTGTAATTAGCAGTTTATTTGCTGATTTTTTTGTGCTTTTCCTGTCTCACTCAACCAGTCATACCTTCAGCATTCGAGTTCACAGAATGTTGAAAGCCTGCTAGAAAATAGGAAGCTGAGTGAGAACGCCCACTTCTTTTTAGTACATCTTTCTGCTGAAATGATACGTGTTTATGTGTGAAAACACGTAGGCATGATATTTCCTCATGGTGTTAAAGTGTGTTCTTTTTCAGGCTGAATTTCATTTCTTTGAAATAGAAATCTACAAATATTCATTTCAGCTGTTTAAATGGGCTCATCTCATTTTTAAAAAGTATAAAATATTTCAAAATTCTAAAATCATGGTAACTAACACAGACTAATATAACTAACACCTTTGTGCACATCACCAGCATTATCAAGGTTCATTGCACTTCAATGCTTGTAAGTTTGTCGGCTTTAGAGGAGCAGAAAACCTTGAAAGATAAGAGAAGTGTTTGGAAGTGGAAATGATACAAATGCTTGATAGATACAGGCCCTTAATGTGTTGTGTTCTTTGTAGCTCTCCAGTGAAGAAGCCAAGTCTTCTGAAGGCCCACCAGTTGGAAGGAGACCCTTTTGATGAGGCCTCCGAGGGCTCTGAGGGTCTCGGGCCGTGTGTGTCCTCCCTTAGTACCCTGATAGGCACCGTGGCTGAGACGTCTGAGGAGAAGTACCGCGTACTTGACCAGAGGGACAGAATTATGCGGCAAGGTATGTTGGGTCTTCTTGGCAGAGGTCCAGAGACCCTGCTAAGGTCATGACAAGGTCATCTCCTCAGAGTTCTGAGAGCAGGAATGACCCGTCTGTGCGGCTCCACTATCGTCGAGTCCTGGGCCTCTGATGTGCCACATATGGTCTTTCTTGTTTGCTAGTCTCCTGAGGCGTGAATGTAGGCATGGACATAATGCAGATATGTTTTTAATTTTATTTTATTTTGCAAGGAAGTCTACAAACCATTGATCCATGCTAAATTAAACAATTTAAAGGACAATTTTTAGACATTCAGAAAACGTAAAAAAAACCAAAATTTTCTGTTTGACAGAAGTCACCACAAATAAAACTCAAAAAGAAATATCAATCTAGGGGAAGAAATCTGTAACTCATATCACAGACGAAGGGCTGATTTCTCTGATACAGAAAGTATTGTAGAAGTTAGTATGAAAAAGACCAAATGTAGTGGGAAAGGACTAAGGGGTCTGCAAGAAAAGGAAGTGTCGTGAGTTGGCTGTCACACAGTGGGAGATGTAGATTACACCCCACAGGTTGGGCTGGGGGGCTGCACTCCTGTGGAGGAGCACAAGTTGGCAGTATCTTTGAGACTTAAGAAAACTCGTGCCTTTGACCTAGCATTCCATGTCTAGGGGCGTACCTCACAAACATAGTGCACGTGTGTGTGATTTTGCACAAGGTGGTTTGTGATGACAGAGATTGTAAACTGGTTGTCCACACAGTGGGATTCTAAACAGTCTGAAAGACGACTGGGGTTTCCTGATGGAAACGTCATCAAGGTTTGTTGTGAAAAAGTGAAATGCAGGAAGTACCTAGTGTGCTACCATTTGTGTACAAAAACGGGGGAAGAGTGTGTGTGTGTGTGTGTGTGTGAGAGTCAGTCATATGCTTACCATGTATATGTAAGTATACTTGCTTACGTGTGCATAAAATAGTTATGGGAGATGCGAAAGGGTCTGCTCACTCTGATTGTCAGGAGAGAGCAGAGCAAGGTGGGGGTGGGTGTTCCATTTTGGACATTTTTTTACCTTTGGATTGTTGAACTTTGTGAATGTATTACCTATTCAAAAAGTAAATATTCTATTAACATTGAAAAATATGTACAGTGACCAAAAATAAAAGGAAAAAGCGCTTGTGCTCTTCTTTGCAAAGTTTTTTTAAAATTAAATTTTAGCTGTAGGATTTTCCTCCTTTTAAAAGCTGTGAATAAGTGGAATAATCACAGCACCTCCTTAACGTGGTAATAAAAGCTACCATGGTATATTATATCATTGACACGGTGATTTTTATATTCCAAATAAAATTATTACCAGGTATTGGAATTTTTTTTTTTCCCCTGAGGAAGATTAGCCCTGAGCTAACATCCGATGCCAATCCCCCTCTTTTTGCTGAGGAAGACTGGCCCTGGGCTAACATCCATGCTCACCTTCCTCTCTTTTATATGGGATGCTGCCACAGCATGGTGTGACAAGCGGTGTGTTGGTGGGTGCCCGGGATTCTAACCTACGAACCCTGGGCTGCCAAAGCAGAGCGCGTGCTCCTCACTGCTACGCCACCTAAAAATTAGATATGTATATTTGGAGTTGTGAAGTTGTTGCATTCTGTTTCATTTAAAAGATGCTTTTGTAACTGTTTAATTCTGTGGGTAATAATAGTGGTTTGTTCAGGTCAGGACCCAGGTAACTTCCTTTATGTGATTCTTGTTATATTAAAAACAATGAAGTACTGACAGTGTTAAAATACTGGTATATCTTGAATGTTTACTTTTTAAATTCATTCTTTTAAAACATACTGCAGCGTGATTGTCATTGAGTTGGTTACAGGAGCCCCTGCCTGTGGTGTGCAGTGAGGACCTGAGTGCTGGGGAGGGAAGGCCTGAGGTCTTCGTGGGCCTGCCTGCCCTGTCCCCCGAGTGATAGGCTGCACTTTCTTTCTCTAAGGCCCAGTGATTGTTAAATTCAAAAATATTTCTGCCTTTTCTTTTGTAATTTGTGTGTGATGTTTGTTTTTATTTTTATTTTTCCTTTTATCACTATGAAAATGCACTTCTCTGGTTCCTGGTAACTGTGGTACACTCTTAACTTTTTATCTGATGTCATTTAGCTCGGGTGAAAAGAACCGACCTGGACAAAGCGAGGACTTTTGTTGGGACGTGCCCGGACATGTGTCCCGAGAAGGAGCGGTACATGCGGGAGACCCGGAGCCAGCTGAGCGTGTTTGAAGTGGTCCCGGGGACTGACCAGGTGGAGCCCCCTGTTCCCCTGGGGTTCCTCTCCAGGCCGCTGCCCGTGTTTAATCATCGGGTGGAGGTGGGGTGGGCAGGGGAGGAGAGGCTTGTTCTCCGTAATTTCTGTACAAATTGATACTTGATTCGGGTCTGTATGGGATGGTGGGGATGTGCCGTGAGCAGTCCCGTCAGATCCTTTGTGTTGTGAGATGTGTGCTGAGCTACCTCATGGGCGGTGGCTGGGCCACATGGCACCCTAAGGTGTGGGTATAGATGCAGATTTGCTTCCTGGATTAAAAATTGTCATTTCTTCTTTCTTTTCACAACTTTATTCCTGTCCTTTCCTGTGTTTGTACTTTGACATTTGGGATTATGCTCGAGATAGAGTTTTGTTTGACTCTTTTTCATTTAAAATTATCAGCATTTTCTTCTGTTATAATAAACTCTTTATAAGCATTTTTAAATGACAGCATATTATTTGATTATGTAGCTCTGTCAAAACTCCCCATTTTGCAATCATTAGATATGCTGTTTCTGATTTTTCAATTTTATTAATAATTCTGTTGGACATGTTGTGTGTAATGCTTCTAAGGCGTTTAGATTATATCCTTTGGATACACCTTAAGAATTAAGGTACTGTATCAGAGGGTACGACCTTTCTTAAGGTTCCTGAACGTGTCAGTTCATGTTCCCAAATTGTTTCCCCAGAAATCTACGTCATTTTAGATCCTTTTACTCTCTGTTAATTTTGCTTATGGGCTTCTCCTCTTCTCCCGGCTGGTGGTTTTATAGCTGCCTTTGCCCATGTGGAGTCCCCAGCTGGGCAGCAGCAGTCACGGCAGAGGCCCAGGGCTCCTGCCGCAGGAGACAGTGACGATAGCTTGTAGCGGATGCCCAGGGCGCAGTCCTGTGGACGTCTCTGTTTCTGCCCTCAGCCACATGTCTTCAGCCTCTTTCTGAAGGTGGAAGATGTGACTCCAGGCCTCTTGCAGGCAGCTGGTCCCAGCCCCACCCAGCCCCTGCTGCTGCTATGCCCCCTCAGTCCTCACTGAGGTCTCCGTTTTGTTTCTGGTCCATGTAGGCTTAATCTGATGTCTGAGCGGGGCTGAGACCTTTAAAATGTCTTAAAGTCCTTTACCTGTCACACCTTTGTGCTTGGAGCCAAGCAGGTATGCCTTCACTTACATTCCGTCTGCTTCTTGAGGTGATGGCCTCACATCTTCCCTCCTTGTCGTATTTGCCAAAAACAAGTTTATGGGTTTATTTTGTCTTTGAATTTAATTATCACCGTCAAACAGAAGTTTTATATTTTACAGTGGTATTCTGCAGTGTTGATCTTGTATGAGTGTGGGTGATTTCCCTCCTTGTTTTAAGGCACCGCTGCTGGGAGGCTGGCCCAGCACCTGCCCGCCAGCAGCTTGTCCCCACTCCCTGTCCTTAGGTGGACCACGCGGCGGCTGTGAAGGAGTATAGCCGCTCCTCCGCGGATCAGGAGGAGCCCCTGCCGCACGAGCTGCGGCCCTCGGCAGTGCTCAGCAGGACCATGGACTACCTGGTGACCCAGATCATGGACCAGAAGGAGGGCAGCCTGCGGGACTGGTATGACTTCGTGTGGAACCGCACACGGGGCATACGGAAGGTATCGGCCGCTTCCCGTCAGGAGGCTAGAAAGTGCATGTAAATTCCAAAGTGAATGTGAGAGTTCTTTTCATTTCACTCAGTTATAGTTCATCTGTAAGAAAAAATACACTAATTTAAAATCATTACAGTGTTCTATTAAAATGTGCTGCATGGGCTTTGTTTCAAATTGAAATATGAGAAACTTGGGTAATAAGCATGATTTTTCTAATAGTTGATTCTCTGTGCATGGGAATATGTGCATGAAATCTGTGTGTATATGAGACCCATGTGCATATAAGGTGTGTGTGTGCGTACCAGGTCACCTGGCTGTGTATGAGGTCCATGTGTGTATCAAACGTGTGTGTATGTGTAATATTTCCCCTCGCTTGTGGCCAGGACATCACGCAGCAGCACCTGTGTGACCCTGTGACAGTGTCCCTGATCGAGAAATGCACCCGGTTTCACATCCACTGTGCTCACTTCATGTGTGAGGAGCCCATGTCATCCTTTGATGCCAAGATCAACAATGAGAACATGACCAAGTGCCTTCAGAGTCTGAAGGAGATGTACCAGGACCTGAGAAACAAGGGCGTATTCTGTGCCAGTGAAGCAGAGTTCCAGGGCTACAATGTTCTGCTCAATCTCAACAAGGGGGATATCCTAAGGTGAATTTTCAAATTTGGAAGCTAGCCTAAGATGTATGGAAAGGCAAGGTTTAAAGAGGGAAAGAGTTGTTAGGATTAGCAGTAGCTGATAGTGCTGAGTTTTCTCTGGTATTAAAAGCTGGGATGATAGTAAGAAACCTGGGCTGGGCTGTACAGTCTATTGAGCTGAGCTGCCAGGAGCAGAAGGATGGGGACGCAGACTGACACCAGCACATCTGAAGTCGGCCCCCAGTCCTTTCTGAGAACAGTTTCTCCTTGTCAGCGAGAGAGGAGGAGGAAGGAATTGGCCTGATGAGCAAGACATGGGAGTGAACAGGACAGGGAACCCCAGGGCGCCCTATCAGAGCTGTTAGCAATTTGCTGTCTCAGGTGTGTTTCTTTTAACACGTTTGTACACACACCTCGTCAAAGATCTAAGTAATAGGAGAGGAAAACATTGTGTGAAACAAAAATGCTAAAGATGGGATGTTAAGAAAGAGTGATTTTTTTTTGTGTGTGTGTGAAGATCAGCCCTGAGCTAACATCCACGCTAATCCTCCTCTTTGCTGAAGAAGACCGGCTCTGAGCTAACATCTGTTGCCAATCTTCCTCCTTTTTTCCCCCAAAGCCCTGGTAGATAGTTGTATGTCATAGTTGCACATCCTTCTGGTTGCTGTATGTGGGACGCGGCCTCAGCATGGACAGAGAAGCGGTGCGTTGGTGCGCGCCCAGGATCCGAACCTGGGCCGCCAGCAGTGGAGTGCTCGCACCCAACCGCCAAGCCATGGGGCCGGCCTAAGAAAGAATGAATTTTAAACCCTGGTCTGATATATATGTAGACATTTATATGAAAAACATGGCAGAGTCCACTGGGCCTCTGTTCCTTTCATTGGTAAATTGGACTTCATGACAGCCAGTGTCCCCTTTAGTTCCAAGATTCTCTTATTTATGCCAGAAGTTTTTATTAGCTTAGTGTTTTCCCCAAGAACCTTGTTGCAGTGTATGTAGATGTGTGATTGATTTTAAGTTTTAAAATTAAGCCTTGGAGATAAACTAGTTATGGGAAATGGCTATGTGGTCTTTTCATATATGATAGGTATTTGTCTCCTATCTTGAATAATTCAGTCAAATCAGTTTATTTCTAAACGAAATACAGTTAACTTCTGTTTATTAGACATTGTCATCAAACACAGTCGGCAGTCAATTGTCTTTTAAAGAGTTAAAGTAACTCTTTGATAATCAGTTCTTAAATTGTTGCTTGAAATTATTTACTTTATTCATCATCTTTTTAAAGAAAACTTTTGTTACCAGCCCAGCCCAAGAGTGGCAGCTTTGAAGTTAATAAATTATGAGTATAATGGCACATGTCACTATTAAGACCCTCTTTCTCGGAATGATTGAAATCTAGTTTTTTAATCAGATCTATTTTCATGGAAATTTTGCCTAGTTAAAAATAAAATTCTAACCCCTTTTCTCTCCTTTAATTAACAGAGAAGTACAACAGTTCCATCCTGCTGTTAGAAACTCCTCTGAGGTGAAGTTTGCTGTTCAGGCTTTTGCTGCGTTGAACAGTAATAATTTTGTGAGATTTTTCAAACTGGTCCAGTCGGCTTCTTACCTAAACGCTTGTCTTTTGCATTGTTACTTTAACCAGGTGAGTAACATCGCTGTACTTGCAGAATTGGAAGAAAGTGGGCTGTTACTTGTGATATTTAGGTGCTTCTCTATTCCAAGAACATTTCAACAGGTCCTGGGCTAACTCTTGTGCAACCCTTGTGGCAGCCCCCCGAGGGGGTTACTGGTGTTACCCCGTTTTACAGGGGTTGGCACCATTGATCACCAATGGAAAAGGCCATGCAATGGAAAATACTATTCTTATGGTTCACATAAGAGAAGTCTCTTTAGAAAGATATAACTTGAGTTCAGCACTATCATCTTCCATGGAAACAAAGAAACCAAAAAGCAAAACTTGCACACACAAAATCCCTGACTTAGAAATTCTTAGTGTTATTAATCTAAATTTTTGGACTGAGCCTGATGATGCTAAATTCATTTCAATAAATATCTTAAGTGCCTGCTCTTTGTTGCGTCCTGTGCTGTACACTGGGGTTACAAAGGAGGGGGAAGACCATCTCTTACCTGGGGCTTCGCATAGAGTGTAAACTCCTGGTCTTGGAATTTTCCAAGTCAGGTCTTCGGCCCCAGCCCCTGAGAACACTTGGGGATGATAATACAGCAGCCCCCACCTACCTCAGGGAGCATGCCCCCTCGCCTTGCTTGTGCTGTGCTACCCCTGCCCCTTGCAGGGGTGTGAGGACATGCTGCCTGCCTGGCTGCCTGCCTGGGGTCCACTTGGTGGGGAGGAGCCTGCCTGGTGGATCTCAGGGCCCTGCCCAGCTGGGTCTGTGACTCTGGGCACTTTCCCTCTTTGGTCACACACCAGGTCTTCCTGTAAACAGTGCCTAAACCCATGGTCACATCCCAGGCAAAGATCTTCCGTAAGCTTGCTCATTGTCAGATCTGACAGTTCAACAGAACTGAAATTCTGGAACAAATGAAAAGATTTCTAACAATGTGCCAGTTGGGGAACTCAGTACAGTTGATAAATAAATCATAGTTAATATTTTTAAAATGATTATTTAATGTTGTTAAACCATTGACCATTTGTGCCCATTTCAATAACTTTAAATGAAAAGGAAATCTGAGTGCCTTTTCTTTAGAAAAACGAAGTGTTTCACTAGCAGTGGCCCACACGGTCCCATTGTCTCCTGGACCTCCTCTCCTGCTCCCCCCCTTGCTCCGTTCCACCTGCACCGATGCCTTCCTGCACTTCCAGCCCCAGCACTCACCTGCCTCAGGGCCTTTACACTTGCTGTTCTTTCTCCTCAGAGAGCCATACAGTGCTCACCTCCTCTAGATCTTGGCTTGGCTGCCACCTTCTCGGCAGGGCCCACCCTGACCACCCCCCCTATCTGCTCCCTGTCCTCCTCTTCTGTCTGTTCTCTCTGTCGCGCTATCAGCATTAGGTGTACTCTGCTATTTATGTATCCATTTGTTCAGTGTTGGTCTCTCCCTGACATGTGGGCCATGGAGACAGGCGTCTTGTTCTGTTCACTGCTGTATCTCGGCAGTAACAATACCAGGTGCATAGGAAACCCTTGATAAATACTGGTTGAATTGGTTACAGAACGCTGGAGGAGGAGTAGCAAAAGTCACCCAGACTCCTGGCACCCAAACATGATTTTGTTAGCATTTTCATGTTTTTCCTTTGTCTTTTTTTTTTTTTTTTAAAGCTTGAGTGCATGGTTATATATCCTAGTTGTTAGCTTTTTAGTTCTCTACGTGAGTTGCTGGCACAGTATGACAGCCGACAGACTGGTGGTGTGGTTCCACGACAGAAACTAACCAGGCTGTGGCAATGAGAGTGCCGAATCTTAACCCCTAGACTGCGAGGGCTTGCTCTGTCTTCTTTTCTTAAAGCACTTCTTATAATACTGTGAAAGAATTTTGTCACTGAGTCTTTCTCTGAATTTCATGTTACGTGTTTTTCCACGCCACTGCATTGTCGCCGTGATAATTTTTAGCAGCTGCACAGCTTTCCGTTGAGTGGATGCTGCTCAGTTTACTTTCCATGCCCTGTTTCCGGGTGGTTTGTTTCCTGGTTTTTCTTGTAAATAAAGCCTTCTTGGCTTAACTTTTCCTTTGTGTGAAACTGTTTTCTTTGCACGCATTCCTGGGCATCTTCCACTGAGCACATGGCCTGATGATCCTTAAGTCTGGGACCTGTGGTGCCCCTGTGTTTTCCAGGGGACTGAGCGATAGCAGGACCCCTGCCCCATGTGGCATTTCCGTGGCGGTGGGGTGACCGTGACCCTTGAGACTGCAGTCATTTGGCTTCTCCTTTTAGATTCGCAAGGATGCTCTCCGAGCGCTCAACATTGCATACACGGTGAGCACGCAGAGGTCCACCACCTTTCCCCTGGACGGCGTGGTGCGCATGCTGTTGTTCAGAGATTGCGAAGAGGCCACAGACTTCCTCAACTACCACGGGCTCGCCGTCTCTGAGGGGTAAGAGCTGAGAGTGGAACTGTGGGCCTCTCTCCTTTTTCTCTTTTAGTAAATCCCTGATAACCAGCTGGGCCACACTAGCCACGTGCCAGGCCCTAGAGAAGGCACGTTCCATGTGCTGCCTCCCTGGGAACAGGTGAACACATGGGGCTCAGAATGGCTGGGAACATCCCCAGGTCACACACTGTTCATCAGCAGATTGGGGCTCAGACCCAGTTACTTGTGACTCCAAAAATCAGTGCTTTTCACAAATTAGTAAAGAACCTAAAGGTAAAGGTTAGGGCCTTTCTTCTTCTGTCGTGTGATGATGGCATTTGCTGATCCCTCTCTGACAGTCTACACAGGCGCTGGTGGGCTAGGCCAGGGGCTTCTCCTTTGCTGTGGAGCAGAGTGTTTTGAGAGCCTGATGTAACTCATGGTTCCCCTCCCAGAAAATGGCACCATGACACACAACATTCGTGTCCTGAGTTGGTGTTTCCCCAGCCCCTCCCTCCTTTGGCTCCTTACCGCTGGCCCCCGTTTGCCTGCTACCTGCAGTCCTGTCCTCACAGAAATGTGGCGGCTTTGGAATGAGCCAGGAGTATGTAGGTGTGCGTTGCTTCACACCTGGCTGTTAACAACTAGGCCAGGCGCTCCCATGTCAGAAAGAAACGCCAGGGCTGGCAGTGGTGGGCGCTGTGGGCCTAGCCGGCAGACCAGCCTTTGCCACCTTCCCTCCTTGTTTCCATGTGGCCATGTGGTGACACAGTGGCGGGGTGAGGCTTCTAACATGCTGCCAGGCACTGAGAAGGTGAAGGCTGGCTTCTCACCTCTGTGACACCTCTCTGGGTTCCTTGTGGTTTGGGTAGCTGTGTCGAGCTGAACCGGTCCTCGTTCCTGGAACCAGAGGGGTTATCCAAGGCCAGGAAGTCGGTGTTTATTACCAGGAAGCTGACCGTGTCGGTTGGGGAAATCGTGAATGGAGGGCTGTTGCCCCCCGTCCCTCGTCACACACCTGTGTGCAGCTTCAACTCCCAGAACAAGTATGTTGGGGAGAGCCTGGCCGCCGAGCTGCCCGTGGGCACTCAGAGACCTGGCTTGGACGCAGCAGGTGAGTGAGCTGCAGTTGCGGGAGGGAACTCGCTGTGTTTCCCCCTAGGAAGCCTCTCATGAGCTAGAAGCAGTGTCTTCTTCTGGGGGCTGGGATGTGGGTGTCTGCTCAGTGCTTAGATGTTTCCTCCCGAGAGCCGCCTGAATGGCTCCTTGACGTCATGGGGCTTGGTTCCCCTGGGTGAAGCACCCACTGTCCCCCATGACGTGTGGTCTGCTCAGGGAAGGTGGCCAGTCCCTAGTGGTCACTGTGGGTGGCCCAGGGGTCGTCCTTAGTGCCCATGTTTGTCTGTTCCCTTCCAGGTGGGGAGAGAGGAGAGGAGAGTGGTGCAGAGGCAGACGTGCCCGCGCCCGCTCTCCTCCCACAGCCTCTTCCTGCCCCACCACCTGCACCGGTCTCTCTGCCTCACCTGCCGGCACTGGCACCAGCCCCGAGCGTGGCGCCCAGCCCCTTCCAGCCCCCTGTGCAGCCTGAGCTTCTTCCACCAAAGCCTGCGCCTGTGTACTCTGACACGGTAAGGAGTCTTGCAGACCAGGGCTCTGAGGAACCCGCTGTGCACAGATGTCTAGCAGTGTCTAGTGTCTAGTCTGACCGTCATCTGTAGACTGAACCTGCTGAGGGGGTGGCATGTGTGGCTCAGGAAGGTTCCAGCCATGGTGGGTCTCAGGACCCTGGCCCTCAGGCTGGAGCCTGTCTTTCAGATGAGGAGCCTGCGGCCCCGAGAGCAGGGACTACATGCGGCTCCCCAGCTTGCTGCCTGCGTTTCTCTTTGAAAGGTTACAGTTGAAACTTTAGAGAATGAACTGGAGGGTTTTATGGACCTAATGCTGTTGGTACAATAAGTGTTGTCCTGCACTGAGTGCTTTCTTTGCTGGGGGCTCCGCAGACACGCCTGTCCGTGGTCTTTCTATCCTTGCACCACCCTACGCCACCCTGCACTCTTATGCAGGGTGTCTGCTCGACGTGATGCTCAACACCTGCTCATTCAAGACAGTCAGTGGACACGTGGACTAGGGACGTGTGGGACCGCTAACAGGCGTGTCCCTGGGGCCCGCGTGCCCGCTGACAGGCCTGTTCCTGGGGCCTGTGTGCCTGCTGTTAGGCGTGTCCCTGGAGTCCCCGTGCCCGCTGACAGGTGTGTCCCTGGGGTCCCCATGCCCGCTGACAGGCGTGTCCCTGGGGTGCACGTGCCCTCTGACAGGGGTGCCCCTCTGGTCAAGTAGGGCCTGTCCACCACACAGGTTGTGGGACTGAATCTTGCCACCCTGTTGCTTGGGCAGGCGCTGGGCACTGTGCCCGCTGAGGGATCAAGGAGGCCTGAGAAGAGCAGGATAATGGCCACAGAAACTGAGGGTGTTTGATGTGAGGTGGCATCAGGGCCGCCTGCACGGCCGTTGTCCAGCAGGCAGCAGGCTTGCCGCGTCCTCTCCAGAAGGCTGCTTTCATTCATTAGCAGGAAACTTTTCCAGAAGCAGTGTACCCAACCCCTGTGCGAGGGTCATTGGGCGCCTTCAAACAAGCTCTGGAAGGGATTTCTGCCCTGGGTGAGCTGTTCCAGGAGAAGGTCGTCTGGTCTCCCTCTCTGAGGTTCTGGGAGGACCTTCAGTACCCTAAGGCTGTAGCGTGAGACCATTTGGTTATCAGCGGGGTCTGGTTGAGGCAGTGTCTCTCAGTGCCCGCACGGCACGCCTGACCCCTGCCTGGCCCCTCCTTAGGACCTGGCGCAGGTGGTGGATGAGCTCATCCAGGAGGTTCTTCAGAGGGACTGCGAGGAGGTTGGCGCTGCGGGGGCGGCCTTCGCAGCCACAGCTCTGGGGTAAGTGTGGCGCTCCTCCTGCTCAGGCGGTCTGCACTCGCTCGGGCCACACCCTGTCCCTCCAGATATTTTCTGTCATGAAGCTGCTCTCAGTCTTCAACAAGAGATCGCAGCTACCCATTTGTGTGGGCTTAAATATTGGTCCTGTTCTCTCGGCGGGTGTAATTTCTCATGTTCCTGACCTTCTGTTTGTCATTGACATGTAGCGTCTGTTCGTGTGTGCTTTTTCAGCAATATCAGGCTTATTTTAAAGTTGTAAATTAAAAACTTATTTTTCTTTAAGTTTTAAACGACTTAAAAATCTAGTAAAAAATTCTCTATTAAAAATTAAAAACACTCACTTTACTTGATCTTGGATTAAGTCTCAGTTTATAAATTTGACAGATTAAATCCCTTTAAACATTTTATACCATTTGTGTTTTATACCACGATGAAACTTCCTTAGACAATAAATTTAATAATCAAAATCTTTGTAAGCTCTTAAGAAACTTTTGTAAATCTAATTAAAATTAATAAATTTAGTAAATCAGACTTTCTTAAGGATTTCAAACATCTTGTAAAAATCCTAGTACACATAAAGTGACACAATGATAAGAAAAGATATTTCACCTATATGAATGGAGATTACACAAAAGGATCAGTTGATAAATTTGATTCATTTTTTTTATACTGGAGTTGTATACATACTTTCTATTTGATGGAACTAAAAATAAGTATGATTTCCATGGGCTTAATTTTTTAATGTGGTAAAATATACATAAAATTTACCATTTTAATTGTTTTTAAGTGTACAATTCAATGGCATTAATGCCATTAATGTTAAGTTCATTAACAATGGCGTGTACCCATCACCACTATCTATTTCCAGAATTTTTTCATCAGAAACTTATACAGATTAAACAATACCCATTAAACCGTAATTTCCCATTGTCCTCCTTCCCCAGCCCCTGGTAACTCGTATTCTGCTTTTCTCGTTATGAATTTGCCTCTTTTAGCTACCTCATATAGGTAGAACTGTAACAGTAATGTCTTTTTGTGTCTGGCTTTTTTCAGACATAAAAATATCTTCAAGGTTCATCTATGTTGTAGCATGTATAAGCATTTCAGTTTTTTTAATGGCTGAATAATACTCCATTAAATATATACAGACACATATACATGTATATGTACAGCACTGTGTGTGTATTCATCTGTTGATGGACATTTGGGTTATTTTCACCTTTTGGCTATTGTGAATAATGCTGCAGTGAACATTGGTGTACAAATAACTGTTTGAGTCCTTGTTTTCAGTTCTTATGGATATATGCCTAGCAGTGGAATTGCTGGCTCAGATGATCTGTTTTTAGAGAAACTGCCAAACTGTCTTCCACAGTGTCTGCACAATTTTACATTCCCATCAGCAGTGCACAAGGGTTCCAGTTTCTCTACGTTCTTGCCGATACATGCTGTCTTCCATTTTTTTTTTAAATAATAACCATCATAATGGGTGTGAAGTGGTGTCTCATTGTCGTTTTGATTTGCGTTTCCCTAATGACTGATGATGTTGAGTATCTTTTTCATGTGCTTATTGGCTATTTGTGTATCATCTTTGCAGAAATGTCTATTCAAGTCCTTTGCTCATTTTTGAATTTTTTTTTTTATTGTTGAGTTGTAGGAGTTCTTTTATATTCTGGAGATTAATCTTTTATCAGGTATATGATTTGCAAGTAATTTTTCCCATTCTGTGGACTGTCTTTTCACTCTCTCGATAGTGTCCTTTGATCCACAAAAGTTTTAAATTTTTATGTAGTCCAATTTATATATTTTTTCTCTTGTTGCCTCTGCTTTTGGTGTCATTCAAGACATCATTGCTAAATCCAGTGTTATGAAGATTTCTCCCTGTGTTTTCTTCTAAGAGTTTTATAGTTTTAGCTCTTGAGTTTAGGTCTTTGATCTGTTTTTATTTCACTTTTATATGTGGTGTAACATAAGGATCTAACATCATTCTTTTGTATGTGGGTATCCAGTTTTCCCAACACCAATTGTTGAAAAGACTGTCCTTTCCTCATTGAATGGTCTTGGGACCCTTGTTTGAAATCAATTGACCAGGTATGTGAGGATTTCTTTCTGGGCTCTCTACTCTCTTCGGTTGGTCTATGTCTGTTTTTATTCTAGTACCACTGTTTTGATTACTGTAGCTTTGTAGTAAGTTGTAGTAAGGTTTGAAGCACAAAGTGTGAGTCCTTCAGTTTTGTTTCTCTTTTTCAAGATTGTTTTGCTATTTGGAGTCCCTTGAAATTCCATATGAATTTTAGAATGGGCTTATTTCTGCAAAAAATGCTCTTGGGATTTTGACAGTGAGTGCATTGAATCTGTAGATTGCTTTGGGTAATATTGACATCCTAACAATATTAAGTCTTCCAATCCATGAACATGGGATGTTTTTCCCTTTGTTTAGGTCATCCTTAATTTCCTTCAGCAATGTTTTGTAGTTTTCATTTAAGTCTTGCATCTCCTTGGTTAAATTTATTCCTAATTATTTTATTCTTTTTTTTTTTTTTTTTTGTGAGGAAGATCAGCCCTGAGCTAACATCCATGCCAATCCTCCTCTTTTTGCTGAGGAAGACTGGCCCTGGGCTAACATCTGTGCCCATCTTCCTCCACTTTATGTGGGATGCCACCACAGCATGGCTTGACAAGCGATGCGTCATGCACACCCGGGATTCGAACCCGGGCTGCCAGCAGTGGAGCACGCGCACTTAACTGCTATGCCATGGGGCTGGCCCCTAATTATTTTACTCTTTTTGTTGCTGTTGTAAATGGAATTTTCTTTTTTTTTTTTTAAAGACCAGTGTAGTTTATTTATTTTCCCCCAAAGCCCCAGTAGATAGTTGTATGTCATAGCTGCACAGCCTTCCAGTTGCTGTATGTGGGATGCGGCCTCAGCATGGCTGGAGAAGCGGTGCGTCGGTGCACGCCCAGGATCCGAACCCGGGCCGCCAGCAGCGGAGCGCACGCACCTAACCGCTAAGCCACGGGCCCGGCCCTGGAATTTTCTTAATTTCATTTTTAGAATGTTCATTGCTAGTGTGTAGAAATACCATTGATTTTGTGTTTGATCCTTGTATTCCAACCTTGCTGAACTTGTTTATTAGTTCTGATAGGTTTTGAGTGGATTCCTTAGGATTTTCTATATACAAGTTCATATCATCTGTGAACAAAGTTTTCTTCTTCCTCTCCAGTTTGAATGTTTTTTACTTTTCTTGTCTAATTGCTCTGGCTATAACTTCCAATATGGTATTGAATGAAATGGCAAAAGTGGGCACCCTTGTCTCATTCCTGGTCCTAGAGGAAAAGCTTTCCAGTCTTTCACCACTGAATGTGATGTTAGCTGTGGCTGTTGTGTTTTTGTTTGGTTTGTTTGTTTGTTTGTTTGTTTTTGTGAGGAGGATCAGCCCTGTGCTAACATCTGCCAATCCTCCTCTTTTTTTTTTGCTGAGGAAGACTGTCCCTGGGCTAACATCCGTGCCCATCTTCCTCTACTTTATATGGGACGCCGCCACAGCATGGCTTGCCAAGCAGTGCATCTGTGCGTGCCCAGGATCCGCACCGGCGAACCCCGGGCTGCCACAGCGGAGCTCGCGCACTTAACCACTTGCGCCACCAGGCCGGCCCCTGTGGTTGTTTTTTATATGGCCTTTATCACGTGGAGGAAGTTCCCTTCTATTCTTTACTGAGTATTTTAATCATGAAACGGTGTTGAATTTTGTCAGATGCTCTTTCTGCATCAGTTGAGATGACCATGTGGGTTCTTTTTCTTTCATTCTATTAATGTGGTTGTATTACATTGATTGATTTTCATTTGTCGCATCATCTTTGCATTCTAGGAATAAATCCCACTTGATAAAGTTGTATAATCCTTTAAATGTATTGCTTAATTTTGGTTTGCTAGTATTTTGCTGAGGATTTTTGCATCAATATCCATAAGGGATGTTACTTTTTAGTTTTCTTGTAGTGTCCTTGCCTGGCTTTGATATCAGATCAGAGCGATGCTGGCTTCATAGAACTGTTAGGAAGTTTAGCACATCTTTCTTCTTCAGATTTTTAGAAGAGTTTGAGAAGGATTGGTGTTAGTTCTTCTTTAAGTTAATTCTTCAAGTTTGGTAGAATTTACTAGTAAAGCCATCTGGTGCTGGGCTTCTCTTTGTTGGGAGGGGTTTTTGAATACTGAGTCAATCTCCTTACTAGTTATAGGTCTATTCAGATTTCTATTTCTTCATGAGTCAGTTTTGATAGAGTCTGTGTTTTCAACCATGGGCTAAATTTTTATGCTAAAAGCCAATTAAGTATTTTTTTTTCCTTGCCAGTGTTAGAAGTTTAGTTATGTGGTTTGCTTGGCTTTTATTTATTTATTTATTTAGAACGGTATCCACTTTGCTCTGTCTAGTGTTTCCAATGCTGCTATGGAGGAGCTGTTAACAGCTGCAACCACAGGCATTTTGAGGCACATTGCAGCTGAAGAAGTGACTAAGGAAAGAGAACGAAAGGAGGAGGAGAGGCGGCAGGCTGAAGAGAAGAGGTGAGTGTGTCTCCTCCCTGCAGTGCACATGGGGGTCAGAGCATGTGGACACAGGAGAGAACCCGCCCTGGCCTAGGACGCTCTTGCTGTTGTCCCCTGTACTAGGATCAGACCATGGCACACCCAGTGCCCTGTGCCCAGGGAGTGGGTGCGGGTCTCAAGGCTGCACCCACCTTGTGAGCAGCAGTCCTCCCTAGCTGACGTGGCGGACAGGGTGGAGGTCAGAAGAGCTGGAGTGGGGGCGGCTCTGTGGCTGTCTGATGGGATCAGAGGGGTCGGGCCTGCCGACTCAGGCAGCACATCTCAGATCCCTACTTGGAAGGTCACAGAGCGTGATGACACTTGTTTTTATTCTTCAGCATTACCCTTGTGCTTTTTTTTGTTTTACTCCTAGGTTGAAACAAGAGAGAGAACTGGTGTTGAGTGAACTGAGCCAGGGCCTGGCTGCAGAGCTGACGGAACTCGTGGTGGTGGAATGCGTGAGGGAAACCTGCTCCCAGGAGTTGAAGTAAGAGAAGCACTGTCCTGCAGTGCGGGGTGCGGGTGAGGTGCAGGGTGACTAAGGCCCTGTGGCCAGGCTGGTGCAGTTCAAGCTAGCTGGGTTTGTTTTTGACAAGAGCATATCTTTTGGATACCAAAACTGAAATGCCATCCCTGTACTTGTGTGTGTGTTGCTTCCAGAGAGGGCCTCACTTTCAGTCTCATCCTCATTGTGGGCCCTGCCTTGGGTGCAGGGATGTGTCTGTCGGCAAAAGAATTCATTGGTAGTCTCCATGCCAGCTTACTTACGTAGTTTTTCTCACCTAGAAGATTCTGTCCCTTGTTTCATGTGTTAAAAGATTTCTTTGAGCTTTCTCACTTACGAACTTTATTAATTTTAATGCCAAGCTTCGGGGAGAAAAAGGTTCAATTGTGCAGGGAAGTCTGTCTTTGTACTTAAACTCCCCTGACATGGCCCTGAAGGTGATGGACGTTAGTACAGATTGCAGCTTCCCGTGCAGATGGGGACACAGCCGGGAGGCAGAAGTGTATTGTTTAATTCATGTTTCTTTCTTTCTCTGTTAATTGGGAGTCTATGTCCCTGTTTACTGTAAGCAAGAGACCTGACAGATGATGGATGTATTTCTGTTCTTAATCCCAGGCAGGGTGTTAGGAGATAAGTAAAACCTAGGACTCATTGATGTATGGGGAAAGTGCTGTTCTCCACAGTCCTGGGAGACTTGGACGGCAGCTCACCCCCAGGGCTGTCTCCATCCGTCACAGAGGATGGCTGTTGGAAACGGGTCTGGCTTGTTTAAGCACCTTTGATTTTGCCACTAAATATATCTGATAAAGTCCTCTTTGCTCCCTCGGTTAATAGAATTTTGTTGTAAAAAGCTCTCTCTTAGATACTGGTTTATCTGAGGCCACCACCACATGACCACAGGCTGCTAGCTCTGACGTACTTGTGACACTTCTAATTGCAAGCATCAGATATTGCTGATGAGAAGCTGTTGCAGTTGTCTTAATGGTTATTTAAAAGTTAAAAATTTTAAGTATTTTATTAAGATAAAGGTTTATTCTTGATCATTTACAAGGGCCCTGTTGGACCTATGATCTAGTACCCTGTACCACTTTTGTTCTGTTTTCTCTATCATTCCAAGTGTCTGTACATTAAGTAAAATGAAAATTTTAGAGCTTCTCTTGCAGCAAAAAAGTAACTATATTTCAGTATTAAGGACGTGGACTCTTGTGCTTTTAAGGCAAGCCCTCGGTATGTGGGGCCCTGGGTGCAGTGTCTCCCATGCTGATTGCCCTCTTCCCTAGGAGTGCAGTGGAGACAGACCAGAGGCTCCGCAGGGCCCGTTGTTGTGAGGATGTCTGTGCCCACCTGGTGGATTTGTTTCTCGGGGAGGAAATTTTCCAGATGGCAAAGGAGACCCTCCAGGAACTTCAGTGCTTCTGCAAGTATCTCCAGCGGTGAGTCCATGCCCACAGGGAGAGTGTCTTACAAAGATTATACTTTCAGAAACAGTCGATTATACACACATGTAACATGTTCTTTACTCAAGGGTCTAAACTGGGTAAGTAAGGAATTAGATTGGAGCGGGGCGGGGGGACCAGTTCTGTATTTTGACAAGTATTTATAGTCGTTTACCCACTGTGCTAGACACAGAGAGATGGCCGTGAACAAGCCAAACAAATTATAGCCATATTCACCCACATGGATGAATTTCCAAAACATAATTTATAGTGAAAAAAAGCACTTCTTAGGGAAATGTATACAACATTTAAGCAATGTATATTCAAACTAAATAGACTGTTTTGGATTTATATATAGTAGTATAATCCTAAAGAAAAGAAGGCTAATAAGGAACATAAACTCAGCATCATGGTTACCTTTGGAAGCAAGAGGGCGTGTGACTGAGCAGGGCCCGTGGGCATTGCAGTGCTGGTCACAGCCACTGCTTCTCAACTGGGCAGGAGGATGTCAGTATTAGGTTTATGTTATGAATGTTGTATGGTGATTCATTTCATAGCAAAATTTAAGATAAGTCATAGTGTTCTTGGCAGTTGCAACCAGATAAAAGGGAATTCAGTGAGCAGTGAGTCTCCGTTCCATGAGAGACCTCGTCGTCCTCCTCAGGAGCAGCAGCTGCTTGTGTACCCATCCAGAAACCTTCTGTCCTTTTTTGTGGTTGTTAACACAGATGGAAGCATGTTCCCTCCTCTGTGCTAAGCCTTTCTTTACTCCATTTGATATGAGGCAGGGCCTGACCATGGCAGCATGTTGGGCTCTCCTGCTCGTTGCAGTGGCATTGAGGAGGATCACTGCAAGAATGCACCATGAAGGACCTTGCTGGTCCCCTGGTGATGGACTTTCACCTGGCTCTCTCTCTTTAGCCATGACAGAGAGTGCTGTAGTGAGTGTCTCTGTACAAATATTTCACACGTGTCTAGAGATAAATTCCTGTCAGTGGTGTTGGCTAGTTCAAAGGGTATATGTATCTTGTATTTGTTGCCAAGTTGGCCTCCAAAGATCATTTAGCATTCATTCTTAAGTTGAGTAGTTTCGTTGCTCCTCACCACTCATTTGATACAGGCCTTCCCCATGCCTGAGTTTTAATTCTGATTCATTTCTCAGTTTGAGGATTATTGCTGAAAAAGACCTAAACATATTGCCAAAAATGTGTTTCTCCGTGTGAGGGTGCTGGAGCTTGTCTTTGCATTTGTCCCTGTGGTGAACCTTTAAAACACCCAGTGATGATATGTTGATGTGTCCTCCAGGTGGAGGGAGGCTGTCACAGCCCGGAAGAAACTGAGGCGCCAGATGCGGGCCTTCCCTGCGGCGCCCTGTGTGGACGTGAATGACCGGCTGAGGGCACTGGCGCCCAGCGCAGAGTGCCCCATCACTGAGGAGAACCTGGCCAAGGGCCTCCTGGACCTGGGCCATGCAGGGAAAGTGGGCATCTCCTGTACCAGGTCAGTGCTTGGCCTGCTGCACGGCCTCCTAAGTGCCCCCCGCCCCACCTGGCTTTAGAAAGAGTGTGGATTCACGTGTGTATTTGGAGGGAAATGGGTGGAATCAGAGAAAGTGAAGACAAATGCAGGATTGTGTTTTTGAAGGTCATCTGTCCCTCCAGTTCTGGGTGTGACTTACTCTACATGCTCTGATTTCACACGCCTTTTCTCCTTGAGACACTCAGTGTCCCGGTAATCGACTTTTGTTTGGAATCACCTTTTTCCTTCTGGTCTTCATGGTTTAAGGACGTACCACGTCCATTCTCACTGGTGGAGCTAGAGGTCCACACTGGCCTCACTCCCACCCCCACCTGTTTCCTCTGTGTCCAGATCCTTCTGCTTCCCTGTCATTCCTGCTGCTGCCTCGCTCACACCGCCACCCTCTGTCTTCTGCAGCAGCGTTTTAGTGACTCCACCTCCCGCCCTCCAGTCTCCTCTCACAGGCTCCCTCCTTGTGGCCCTTGGGCATGCCCTTGCCTCTGCTCCTTCCGGTTACCCCAAGCACGTCTGGCTCCTCGGGGCCCTGCTCAGGTCCTTGCTTAGGCTTTCCAATCCTGGCGATGCAGGGCTGTATCACCTCTTGAGAGGGGCCTCCCAGTGGGGACCCCGGGGGAAGGGGATATGGAGGGGCTGCAGCAGCGTACTGTGCCGAGGTCTTCTGGTGCACCTCATCCTCCCTGGGGTGTTATGGGGTGTTCTCTCCAAAAACCGTCTCCTTGGGTTTCATTTGGGTCCAACAAACTTTTTGCAGTTGCCTAGATCCCTGGGGTCCCTTTTCTGCACCTCTGAGTGGGGTGGATGATAGTGCTGACCTGTCTCGGATGCACTGTGTGGTCGGGGTGTTCAGGGTTCTCTCTGACCCACGGCAGCGTTGGCACTGGCCTGGCTTCCTCTTGGAGTCATGGCTGCTTTGCCTGCGTCAGGACAGCCCTCTCTCTTGTGTCTCCCCCGCCCCCTCCCTCTCAGCACAGCTCCCTGTCCTCTGTTCTTCCCTTCTGCCCCCTCCCTTGGTAATTTCTTTCCATCCTTCCCGCTGACAACTCCCCTCGTGCATCTCCAGCCGAGGCCTCTTCCCTGCATCCCAGACTTCTGTATACAATTCCCAACTCAACACGTAACCTAATGTTCACCCAGCCTGCCCCACTCGAGGCCTTCCCTGCTCCCAGGACGCCAGCCTGTTGTCTCTGGCGTGAGGTCACGCACTTGGACTCGGACCCACCATCCTTCAGCTCTACCCTCACCACCTCTGCTGCCAGTCCTTCTCACAGAGCTGCCTGTCTGTCTACTGGCTTCCATCCTTGACCCTACACCCTGGTGTGCTCAGCACCACGGCCGAGTCAGGTCACCTCAGGTCTCTAGTTGACATCCCTGTGCTGCTCCCCAAGTCCTTGTACGGCAGCCACCGCCCCCCTCTACCATCCCCCACTACTCTCTCTTTGCTCATTCTGAGTATGTGCCAGGCCTGCTCCTGCCTCGGCATGGCCATCTTCTCTGCCTGTCTACCCCGAGAGCTTGTCACACTGGGTGCCCTTATTTCCATCAGGTGTGCTTACATATCCCCTTCTCTGAGCACCCTGTGTAAGACCACAGCATCAGCCATGCCGTCCACTCACAGAGGCTCTTCTCGCTGTGAGAGCACGTGTTCTAGAAGGGCAGGATTCTTGTCTGTGTACTGTTGATCCTCCATGGCTGGCATACAGTAGATCATTGCATGATGTTTGTGGAATGAATGAGTCCTCTGACTAACCTATTTCTTTATCAGAAAAAGTTTTATTGGGGCCAGCCCAGTGGCGTAGTGGTTAAGTTCATGCGCTCTGCTTCGGCAGCCCAGGGTTCGCAGCTTTGGATCCTGAGCATGGACCTATGCACTGCTTATCAAGCCACGCGGTGGCAGGTGCCCCACATATAAAATAGAGGGAGATGGGCACAGCTGTTAGTTCAGGACCGATCTTCCTCAGGAAAAAGAGGAGGATTGGCAACAGATGTTAGCTCAGGGCTAATCTTCCTCACCAAAAAAAAAAAGAGAGAGAGAGAAAGTTTTCTTGGTCTCCTAGGGTGTTTTCTACCAGGAGACACTCACTAACCAATTACTTTTCACTCAGAACATCAGTAAATACTTACCGAGTTCCTGCCACAGGCACTGAGCTGGCTGTGTAGCCACTCTGTCCTTCTCCCTTTCTCCGCAGGTTAAGGTGGCTCAGAAACAAGACGGTGCACCAGCTGAAGGTCCAGCACTTCCACCAGCAGCTGCTGAGGTCTGTTGTGCCCCTGTGGTGCGTGCTGCTCCTGCCCGGGGCTTGAGCACTGGCTCACCCTCAGTGCTCTGTTGCTTCCAGTGATGTGGCCTGGGCGCCCCTGGACCTGCCATCCCTTGTGGCCGAGCACCTCCCTGGGAGGCAGGAGCGCGTGTTCTGGAAGCTGGTGCTGGTGTTGCCTGCTGGAGAAGAGCAGTCCCCAGGGAGTCCTGGCAGGTCAGGGAGAGTTTCCCTCTGTGGGGTTGATCCTGAGACCTCGGCCTGGGTGGGTGGAACAGCTCCTCCGAGAGCGTTGGGGTGTGAGCGCAGTGTATTCCTCCCATGCACTGTGGGCACCCCGACGTGTGTTTTTATGTTTTGATGCTGAGACGTGAGGTCTGTTTTGTTTGTGATTTGAAGTTGACACTTGAGATTATTTAAATTTTCATTTTGTAAACTTGGCAATAGTCTTTGTCCAAAAGCATTTCAGAGTTTATTATTTAAAGCTATGCTGAGGTATATTGATTAGAGCCTTCTTCATTTTAGACTCTTGGGGAAGACAGTTTACAGTTTGCTACAGTTCTCTTTGTTTCCTTCGGAAAAAAACTTTTAGCATTTTTAAAAAGAAATCCAAAAAATTGACATGGCATTATTTCCTGTAACCAAATCGCTTCCAGAAACCATACTTTTAAAGCAACTACAGAACATGTTATTTTTCTTTTTTCACAGCTTTATTGAGATGGAATTCACATATCATCAATTTCACCTACTTAAACTGTACATTTCCCTGGTTTTTAGTATATTCACAGAGTTGTACAATCATCACCACTATCTAATTCCAGAATACTTCTTTCGTGTGAAAAGAAACCCCATATTTATTAGCAGTCACTCTCCATTCCTCCCTGCCCTCAGCCCCTGGCAACCACTAATCTGTTCTCTGTCTTTAGGCATTTGCCTATTCTGGACATCCTATATAAATGGAATCATACAATATGTGGTCTGTTATGACTGGTATCTTTCATTTATATAATGTTTTCTAGGTTCATCCATGTTATAGCATATATTAGTCCTTCATTCTTTTTTTGTGGCTGAATAATATTCCATTGTATGCATATACCACATGGTATTTATCTGTTCATCAGTTGATGGGCATTTGGGTTGTTTCCCCTTTTTGGTTATTATGAATAATGCTGCTGTGAACATTCATATATAAGTGTTTGTGTGGACATACGTTTGCAATTCTCTTGGGTATATACTTAGGAATGGAATTGCTGTTAGGTTGTATGGTAACCCATGTTTAAGTCTTTGAAGAATTGCCAGACTGTTTTCCACAGTAGCTGCACCCTTTACATTCCTATTAGCAATGTATGAGGGTATTAAGTTCTCTAAATATATTACTTTTAGTTACCAGTAGTAACTGCTGTTGGAACACATGCATGCTAAGGAAAAAGCAAGTCGTAAAGCTTATCTCATGAGACATCTGAGCAAAGAAGATTGTCTCATGAGACATCTGAGCAAAGAAGAGAGTTGTGGTATTTTAAAAATATTTAAATGATGATTCATTTCTTAAAATGAAACAGCTGTCTTCTGATTTGCTAAGTTCATAAGGAAACATGTCATAAAAATTCTTAAGGTCTCAGGCATGAGAAATTTGATTTTGTAAAACATTTATATTTCAAACTCTAAGGACCTTTTCTACTGCTCAAAATCTTCTCTTAGTGCTTCAGAATCTTAAATCACATTAGAATGACCCAGTTTCATGAATAACCTCTCCTCTTACCCAAATAAATAACCCAGTAGAGTTCCTAGCACCATTTTAAAATCACAGCCTGTTTTGTGTAGATCCATTTCACAGTAAGGTTTGGTGTCTGTGGACCTGTATCTGTGTGATATTTCTAACTTATTTTCCTGAAAATCTCTGTAGTTCAAATTTAGAATTAGATTCTTCTTCAAGTGTTCTTTTCTTTTATTCACAGAATCCTAGCAAATTGGTTAAAAGTCAAGTTCATGGGAGACGATGGCTTGGTGGATGACACATGCAGTGACGCTTGTGGGATTCAGACACTTGCACTGTTTAATGCGCTCAGGAGCAAAGAGAGTCAGACAGTTTCTGTCAATGTGTGTATAAAGGTGAGTCACAGACACTTTGTGTATTTGCTTCTATGATTTTCTTATTTTCACTCACTCCCAGACATCATTGGAATCACATAAATGCCCTGAAGTGGTTTTGAAAGAATGTGGGAGGCTCAGAAGCAAGTGTCATGTCTGTTCCTCCTGAATCTTGACGTCCCATGGTCACTTTTTGGAGTGAGATACCAGGCTAGGTTCTCAGGAGTGTAGTGATACTTAACTGTCTTGGGTCACAGACCTCTTTGAGAACTTGGTGAAAACTCAGAACCATCCTGAAAAGGCAGAGATGCACTTATGCTGTTCTGCACATAATTCAGAAGTCCTGAACTCCTCCATGGGCCTCTGGTAATTAACCCAAGAGGGATAAGAGACAGAGCACTCTACAAAAATGCAGCGACTGTTACATCACACGTGGTTTGCCAACGGCTGACATCTTTGTTAAAATAGCCTCCTGATACTTTAGGTCTTACCAAAAGACTAATGGTTTTTAATCCTGTGCAGTTTTCACTAAACTTGATCCCAGCTACTATATGGGTTCAATATTGGACATTTCAGATTAGTTGTTTTGGTTTTACATTCATGTTGTCCTTGGTTTTCTATTATAAGTTCTAATTTTTGTTCTTTATAGGTATTTGTACAATACTGACCTTACTTGGTTCCCTGAGAGAGTTTTGTTTAATGAGAACCTGTTTCCTCATTAGATTCAAACCTGCCTAAGTGAATTTTAGGTTTCAGTCTATGTGTTCAGAAATAAAATCGGATGTATATTTTATTTACTTGGAAAATAGCAGTGCACAGCAGGAAGTGTGGGCTTCAGTGTTTAGTAGACGTGGTGTTGACTGCTGCTGCCGTGGTCAGCTCTCTGAGCCTGGGCGCGGTACCTTCCATAGTGTGGTGATCACAGCCCGCTGCACCAGCGTCTTGTGAGGGTAGCTGGGCTGCATGCTTGGAGGAGGGTTCAGTGAAAGTCAGCGCCCTCCCCCATGTCCTGACTTGAAGGCTGACACTGCTCAGGCCACTCCTCTTCCTAACCATGTCACCTTCATGGCACGCCCTGGTCATCTGCATTTGACGCTGCAGTCTGTATTCCCTCTGTCCTTGGAACGTCTTCAAATTGTAGTTTGGTTATAGAGTTTTTGTTTCTCCATTTTAATACTATTTATTGTATTTTCTAAATGTAAAAGTAATACATGTATAAAACTTTAAAAATATAAGGAAATGTGGAAGTATAAAGATGACTAGAGCCATCCGTGCTTTCACCATTCAGAGGCGACAGTTAGTAATGTCTCGATGCGTCTTCTTCCCTTTCTTCCTATGAGTACAGAGTCAGACTTCACCCGCTAGACAGCGATTGTTGTTCCTCTTGCCCTTATTCTTTTTTTTTTTTTGAGGAAGATTGGCCCTGAGCTAACATTTGTTGCCAATCTTCCTCTTTTTTTTTTTTCTCCCCAAAGCCCCAGCACATAGTTGTGTATCATAGTTGTAGAGTTGTAGCTCTTCTGTATGGGACACCACCTCAGCATGGCTTGATGAGCAGTGAGTAGGTCTGTGCCTAGGATCTGAACTGGCGAACCCCGGGCCGCCGTAGCGAAACGCATGAACTTAACTGCTATGCCACCGAGCCGGCCCCAGCTCTTGCCTTTATTCTTTAAGTTTTTGATCAAAGTAATATTTGCATGTAATTAAAAAGTCAGGGGCCAGCCCGGTGGTGCAAGAGGTTATGTGCACGTGCTCCGCTGCGGTGGCCCAGGGTTCACTGGTTTGGATCCCAGACACGCACTGATGCACTGCTTGGTAAGCCATGCTGTGGCGGCGTCCCATGTAAAGTGGAGGAAGATGGGCACGGATGTTAGCCTAGGGCCAGTCTTCCTCAGCAAAAAAGAGGAGATTGGCAGATGTTAGCACAGGGCTGATCTCTCACACACACAAAAATAGATAAATAAAAACTTAAAAAAAAATAAAGTCAGTACCACATGATTTATTTATTTATTTATTATTTTTTTGTGAGGAAGATCAGCCCTGAGCTAACATCCATTGCCCATCCTCCTCTTTTTGCTGAGGAAGATTGGCCCTGGGCTAACATCCGTGCCCATCTTCCTTTACTTTATATGGGATGCTGCCACAGCATGGCCTGACAAGCGGTGCATCGGTGAGTGACCAGGATCCGAACCCAGGCAGCCAGCAGCGGAGCGTGAGCACTTAACCGCTATGCCACAGGGCCGGCCCCAGTACCACATGATTTACAATGAGGAACAGCAGCTCCTGCCCCCTCTCCTAGCCTTCTGCCACAGAGCTTGATTTCTTCGTGTTTCCAAATCGTATGCTTACACTGCTATTTCTCAGTTTATCCACTTTAGATATTCTCTGCTGACTTCCCATTAAAGTAGGTGTATTAGTGGGGCTGGCCCCGTGGCTTAGTGGTTAAGTGTGCGCACTCTGCTACTGGCGGCCTGGGTTCAGATCCCAGGCGCGCACCGATGCACCACTCATCTGGCCATGCTGAGGTGGCCTCCCACATACAGCAACTAGAAAGATGTGCAACTATGACATACAACTATGTACTGGGGCTTTGGAGAGAAAAAGGAAGAGGATTGGCAATAGATGTTAGCTCAGGGCCTGTCTTCCTCAGCAAAAAGAGGAGGATTGGCATGGATGTTAGCTCAGGGCTGCTCTTCCTCACAAAAAAAATAGGTCTATTAGTTATTTATTGCTACGTAATAAGTTATACCCAAATTTAGCAGCTTAAAATAACAAACATTTGTTACCTCACAGTTTCTGTGGGTCAGTGGTCCAGGTATGGCTTAGCTGGATCCTCTGGTTCAGGGTTTCGCACAAGGTGAAAATCAAGATGTAGGCCAAGCTCTGGTCTCATCTGAGAGCTCGACTGAGGGAACTTCACTTCCAAGCTCACGTGGTTGTGGGCAGGATTCACTTCTTTACAGACTATGACCAGAGGCCTCAGTTCCTTGCCATGTGGGCCTCTCCATAAGGCAGATTGCACCGTGGCAGCCAGCTTCCATCAGCTGAGTAAGATGGCAGAGTCTCTTTGTAACCTAATCTTAGAAGTGACATCTGTCACTTTTTGTCTGATTCTGTCTGTTAGAAGTGAGTCGCCAGGCCCAGCCCACACTCAGGGCAGGGGATTGTGCAACGGCATGAACACTAGGAGTGGGATCGTGGGGGCCATCTTGGCGGCTGCGTGCCATGCTAGGTGAGGAGTGAACTCTTACACCACAGTCTCACTCAGCTTTCCCCACCTTCCCAGGATGGCTACATTGTCACTTTATATTATCTCAGTAAGTGGGGTTATGTTTTGATGTCTGTGTGACCGCTATTTGCCCCAGAACTGGCGAGTGTTCTATGACTACATTTCTTTATTTTTTCTGCGAGAAATAGTTGCCTTATTTTCTCACTTACGTAGTTTTGTCTGTATCTCTCATTAATTTTTACCCAAGAGTGCCAGCAGAGGGGCTGTATACATCTTAATAGAGTTTTCCAAGTGCTCTGTGACTTCACCTTATCCCTCCCTCTGAGAAAGTGCCATCCTCTGCTCCTGTCTGGCTGATAGCATGTCCCAGGGTGTGGATGCCACTGGGCCCTCCATACCAGTCGCTGTCCTGCTCCTCCACCTGGCAACTCTGTGACCTTGGGCACGCTCCTCATGCCCCTGTGCTGCCTGTGGATGTACTCTTACTCAATATCCCTGTTTTACCCATGAGGAAACGGAGGCTCAGAGAAGTTAAAATAGATTGCCTCATGCCATAGAGCTACTCGTGGTGGTGCTGCATACAGGTGCCCCTGGGATGAAGTGAGTTATACAAATGAGTTCTCAGAGCCGTGCCTGACACACACCAAGTGCTTGTGCAGTGCTGCTGTTCACAGCAGCAGCAGTATTTTTTCTTGGTTTAGTCTCTTGTTGGATGGAGAATGACTTCCAGTTTCTTCCAAAGAAAGGATGCATGGGAGGAGAATTTGCTGAGTCCTGGCCTGTCTGAAAATGTGTTTATACTCACAATTGCTTCATAGCGTAGCTAGTTGTAGGATGATGGGTTGAAAGTTGTTTTCCTTCCAGTTTTGCTGCACTGTCACCTTGCATCCAGCATTGCTGTTGAGATGTCTGTGACTATTCCTGTTCCTTTCTCTGTGGCCTGGTTTTGTTTCTCTTTGGAAGCCTGCTCTCTCTGTCCCTGAGGTTCTGAAAACCCACTTTGGTTTGCCTGGTGCCAGTATCCTTCACTCATTGTGCTAGGCCTAGCAGGTCCTTGCAGGCTGGAGACCCTTGTTTCACTTTTGGGATGTTTTTGTGTCTTGGTGACACCTGCTTTCCCTCTCTTTTTTCCTGTTCTCTCTTGAACCTGTTAGACAGATGCTGGATCTCTGCAGTTGATCCTCTGAGCCTCTCATCCTTTCTAGCCTATTTTCTATCTTGTTTTTTATATTGTGTTCTGGGAGATTTCCTTCACTTTATATTTCAAATGTTGTACTGAATTTTTTATTCCATATATATTATTCATTTCCTTTTTCTTAGCCTTATTTGTCTTTCTCATATCATCTTATGACTGTTATTGGGTGCATCATCTTATCTCTCTGAGGAAATTAGGATTTTTGAGGTCTTTCTAAGTTTTCACATGTTCCCTGCTTTATCTGTTTCTTTTTCTCTGTTATTCTAGTCTCTCTCATGTTGGAGGCTCTCCTCAGACACCTTATCTGAGGCTATCCCCCATACCTGAGTGAGGCTCTAAAAGGCTGGGCACAAGCTGTGCTTAACGTGGGGTAGAGGGTAACTGAATAGCAAGCCAGCCTTTTTTGGGGGGACCCCCAAAATGTCAGGATATCTATTCCCTGGGCTTCCCTGGAAAAGGACTCATCTCATCTCCTCCTTGGGCAGCTGCTGGTGCTCTAAGGTAAGGTCCCCTCCACTGCTGGGTGATGCCCCTGTGTCTGGATCCTGCCCAGGAGGATAACGGGACAGGCTGTGCTTAGAGGTTGCCTGCAGGGTGGGTGGATGACCTGTCAGGCCACTGTTCTGTGTGTGACTTGTCCCTCTGTGCTCCTAACTTCAGTTCTGGCTCTTGGTGCCACAAGGCCTGGGAGCTCAGGGCTTTTGCAGGCTCAGCTGCCTGGTTCCTTTCATACCACGTCTGCAGCCCTTCAGGTGTGGCTTCCTCTGCTTCCTTAACCCATGGTTGTTCCCATCTCTGTGCTGCTTTCTAGAAGTGGATCAGAATCCCTTGTCTGCTGCTGGCTTGCCTTTCACCTTTTTTGTCATTATGGGTTTACCTGTTGTTGTTTTTTTTTGGTGAGGAATATTGGGCCTGAGCTAACATCTGTTGCCAGTCTTCCTCTTTTTGCTTGAAGAAGATTGTCTCTGAGCTAAAATCTGTGCCAATCCTCCTCCATTTTTTATGTGGGACGCCACCACAGCACGGCTTGATGAATGGTGCGTAGGTCTGCACCTGGGACCTGAACCCGCAAACCCTAGGCCGGTGAAGCAGAGTGCACGAACGTAACCACAATGTCACTGGGCCGGTCCTTGGGCTTACCTGTTTTTACTCCTGTTTAAGGATAGTTGTTAAGATTAAAGTAACGTGCTCAAACACTGGAAGCTGAATTATCTGCTGACCTGGCTGTTTCTCGCACTAATTCATGGCCTCATGGAGGGAGGCCGGTCCAGCGAGCATCTGGCTGCGCTCACTGTGGGGCCAACGTTCACTGCTGATTTGTCCCCTTGTGTGTCTGTCCTGATGGTTGGGGCGCTGTTTCAGGTGGCCCATGGCGCGCTCAGTGACTGTGCTCTCGATGCCGTGGAGACGCAGAAGGAGCTGCTGGGGGCCAGCGGGCTCATGCTGCTGCTTCCCCCCAAAGTGAAGAGCGAGGACGTGGCGGAGGAGGACGTGTACTGGTTGTCGGCGTTGCTGCAGCTCAAGCAGCTCCTGCAGGCCAAGCCCTTCCAGCCTGCACTGCCGCTGCTGGTTCTTGCGCCTGGCCCCGGAGGGGGCCCTGTGGAGAAGGAAGTGGAAGATGGTTTGTGAAGACAGTCTTGTTTGTGAACTGGCATGTTGAATGAGTGGGTCAGCCCTGGGTCTGAGGGAAGCTTGCAGTGTGGTGTTGGGAGTCACAGTACAGCAGCTGCGGTGGTGACTGGGGGCAGGGCTGGGCGTCGGCGCATGAGACGTAAGCTCCGCTGCAGGCTGAGAGCAGGAGGCAGGTGACCTCCATCTGTTTCTCTCAAAGGTCTGATGCTGCAGGATTTGGTTTCGGCTAAGCTGATTTCAGATTACACCGTTGTTGAGATCCCTGATTCCATTAATGAATTACAAGCCACAAGTAAGGTAAGGTGTCATCCTTTTTAAAGGGCCAACAAGATATGTCAGTTTTTCCCCTTTTTCTTTATCTTGAATTTAGTGTACACCACTGCTTACATTTTGAATTTTATGTTTTGATAGGTAACTTTCTAAAAATATAAGCAGAAATCAAAATAAAAGAAAATTTGCTCAGTCCTGCTATCTGCAACAAATTAAATTGTTCATATAAATTCTTTTAGTGTTTTTTTTTAAGTATGACCATGTCTTGTATCTGAGGGTCAGATATATAAATTGTTTTTGTAGGGTGGTTGTCCTTGGACTTTATGAAGAAATAATGTTATCAGAGGTCTCCTTTAAAGAAGGAGGTCTGTGCTGACAATTACATTTAGGGGAAGAAGTGCTGGGAAATAAAAGTAACTACAGGAAGAAAGATAACTGCAGAATGTGAAAGCTTCCTGGCGTGCAGCGAAGCTGTTAGTCGTTCTAAGAGCGGGAAGATGTGGCCTCATTTCTGTGCGTGGTGAAAAGGACGCAGGGGTGGTTTCCCTTAGGCCTAAGCACTTCTGGGGGGTGACCCTACAGGCCGCACTCCTCCAGGGTGGAGTGGGACTCAGAGCCCCTCTCTGGGGCCCCGCTGTGTGGGTCTCCAGGGCTCTAGGAGGCCAAACAACTGCAGCAGAAGCTTCTGCTCCCCTTCCTGGTGTGGTTGAGAAGCTTGTGCTCTCGGGCACCTGCTGTGGCAGCTGCGGGAGGAGGCACCTTCAGGAAGCTCCTTCAAAAAACAGCATGAGTTATTTAACCAAGCCTCTCCTGACTGTCTTTGCTTCTCAGGTTTCACAGGCTGTGCAGTGGCTGGTCTCCCGCTGCCCCTGTGCCCTTGACCTTTGCTGCCAGACCCTCGTTCAGTATGTGGAAGATGGGGTTGGCCGTGAGTTTAGCGGCCGGTTTTTCCGTGACAGAAGAGAGAGGCGGCTGGGCGGCCTGGCCTCGCAGGAGCCCAGCGCCATCATCGAGCTGTTCAACAGTGTGCTGCACTTCCTGGCCTGTGCAGTGTCCTCTGAGCAGCTCTGCGACCTGTCCTGGCCCGTCACCGAGTTTGCCGAGACTGGGGGCAGCCGGCTGCTTCCTCACCTGCACTGGAACACCCCGGAGCACCTGGCCTGGCTGAAGCAGGCAGTGCTGGGCTTCCAGCTTCCGCAGATGGACCTTCCGCCGCCAGGGGGTGCGTGCTGAAGCTGAGGGCTGCGGCTGGGGAGGAGCGTGAGGCGGCCAAGCCCGATTGCTTTCTTACTGTAGTGACGGTCTGGCAGGTTTAGGCACTAGTGTGAGGTTCGTACGTCCTCCTCCACTGTGCGCCCCGCATCCCCACACTGCCCCTGGCCACCTTTGGGTTCAGGGGTCAGAATGAGCAGGGTTTTGTGGAGTGGGGCTTTTAACCCGTCACCACCAACAGAGCAGTCTGTGGGTGTCTGCTCAGCCCTGGGAGGACGGTGGCGAGCAGTGTCAGGAGGAGCACTACCTCAAGGCCTACGACAGCAGATCCTGTCCTGCCTGTGCCCACGGGGTGTGGGGCAAAGAACGTGGGGACTGCAGCCCCGTCTCCACACTTGGGCTCTGCTGGGGCCATGGTACTCAGTGCTGATTTAATGCCAGTGTTCCTTGTTTGTCAAAGCAGCCTCTGTTCTGTGGCCCAGGCTGTGCCCAGGTGAGGCCTTTGGGCTGTTTCGATGTATGGGTCTTGTGCACTGAGTGTGGAGGCTGCCCCTTCCCTTGCTGACGTTGCCGTTTGCTGCTTATGTGGTGCAGTGTGTGGTCTTGCCAGGCCACTCTCCTTGCCAGGGCCACATGGAACAGAGGCCTCAGTGGCCCTTCTAAATGTCACGATGTGGTCTTCAGTAGCTCCTTGTTACAGAAGGAACTCGAAGGGAAGCAAAGCACACAGCACAAATCCTTTGTACTGTGAGCTAGGTTAGGGTTCCCCAAGAGAAGCCAAGACCTCCCATACCAGACTCTCCTGTGCTTGTTAAAATACAGATTTCTGGGCACAACCACAGGCCTGTGCAATCAGAGCCTCTAGGGTGGACCCTTCGTTGTGAATGTTGTCCAGGGTGCCTGTCTGCATCTCTTACCAGGACAGGGAGAGGGAGATGCTCTTTCTTCTGCAGCTGTGGTTCTATCGTATTCAGATTCAAAAGCAGACTTCTCAACTATACAGTTGCCTTGTCTTAAGAACAGTTTACATAGACTTTGGCCAAATCTTGTAACTCAAGAGGTGCTTTCTCTCCAGCTCCCTGGCTCCCCATGTACTCTATGGTCATCCAGTATGCCTCGCAGATTCCCAGCTCTCGGCAGACGCAGCCCGTCCTCCAGTCCGAAGTGGAGAGGCTGCTCCGCAGGACGTACTGCAGGTGGAGGAGCGGGAGCCCCCGCCTGGGCCGGGGCGCAGGGCCCTCGGCTGCGGAGATCCCGTGGGACGACATCATTGCCTTGTGTGTCAACCACAGGCTGAGGGACTGGACGCCCCCCAAGCTTCCCGTCACGCCAGGTAGTTAGCACTCGGTGCTGTGGGGCCAGCTCCTCATGAGACTTGTTTAAGGATGTTTACTGGATGTTTGTTTCTTTTCCTGTGGGTTCCTGCCCTTCCTTTCCGTCAGACTCCCTCTTCAAGCCAGTGACTTCCAGGTGACCTGTAAACATTGGGGAGAGTTAAGAAGGTTCCAGGAGAGCCTAGACTTACCTCCTCCCTGAAATGGGCCCCTACGCTGGCTCTAAGTTAGAATTCTGTAGCTCTGAGGAATCATACTGGCTATGCCATAGTCTGGACATGAGCCTGTCTGGACCTTGAATGACCCACAGACACTTGGAGCATATTTGGCTCAAACATGGGAGTCATGTAATTATGTGACTTTAATTATCAGAAGGACTTGTCCTTAAATCAGTGAATTTAAGCAAATGTCAAGTGGTCACCTGTTGCTCTTCTGATTCTCTTCTTATTTGTTTTTGTATTGTTTTCTCAGAGGCGCTGAGTGAAGACGGTCAGATATGTGTATATTTTTTTAAAAACCATTTGAAAAAATATGATGTTCCTTTGCTGTGGGAACAAGCCAGAATGCAGACGCAGAAGGAGCTACAGCTGAGTCAGGGGCGGTGAGATCTGTGTTCAGTGTGTGTTTCTGTCGTCACTACAGCCAAGAGAGTGAACCATATTGTTCTCTTCCAAAGTAGAAGACAGAGATTAATATCCTATACACAGAATCCAGCCCATAGTGAGCAGGTTCTGACAAATACTCGAGGAACAGATCATTCCCACGTAGTAGAAACTGTTCCAGAGCAGACAGAAGCAAATCTCACTTCATTTATCAGACGAACCTGACCCTGAAATCATCACATAACCAGGAGCGTGCAGACAAAAGAAAGCTGACATCTCTCATCTCACTTACAAACCTGGTTCAGAAATACTAAATAAAATGTTAACATATACAATCTTGTAGTACATAAAAAAGTGAAAAGTAGGCTTTATCCTACGATAAACAGTAATAGAAATCTATTTGTGTAATTTGCTGCCATAACAGAAAAATAAGTGATCATTTCAGTAGGTTTTAATGCTTTTCTTAAAATTTATACCCATTCCTGCCCGCTCCCTCCCCAAAATTTATACCCATTCCTGATAAAATTACTTAACATACTTGGGTAAAAAGATTCCTTAGCTTTATAAGGCTATCTGCCATAAAACTACCACACAAAAAAAATCATGCTTCTTGGTACAACATTGGAAACAGTGAAGTCAGAACCAGCCTGAGCTGCCTCTCATGTCACTGCTGCTCACTGTTGTCCTGGAAATCCTGCCCATGCAAGGACACAGGTATGATGGCATAAATATTGAAAGGAAGAGGAAACTGTCATTTCCAGACAGTACAACTATCAATTCAAGATAATAAACAATCATGCCCTTAGAACTTTATACAGAATTCACCAAGGTGATGGGACAGATCAATGTACAGTGTACAAAAATTCTCATCACAGCAGCAACAAACTCATAACAGAGGGACATAAAGTGACCAGGAGAGGTGCTGAACTCTGTGAAGGGGACTCGCAGGCCCTGAAGGTGCAAAGAAAAGCTGGATAAATGAGGGGCAGGCTGACTATGTTGACAGGATGATGCAATGCTGTAAAGATGTCAGTTCTCAAAGTATCAAGTCAGGGCATTTCTTTTTTCTTTCTTTCTTTTTTTTTTTTTTTTTGTGAGGAAGATCAGCCCTGAGCTAACATGCATGCCAATCCTCCTCTTTTTGCTGAGGAAGACTGGCCCTGAGCTAACATCTATTGCCAGTCCTCCTCCTTTTTTTCCCCTTTTTCTCCTCAAAAGCCCCAGTAGAGAGTTGTATGTCATAGTTGTACATCCTTCTAGTTGCTGTATGTGGGATGCCGCCTCAACATGGCCAGACAAGTGGTGCATGGGTGCGTGCATGGGTGCGTGCCCGGGATCTGAAGCCAGGCTGCCAGTAGCGTAGTGCGCTCACTTAACCACTAAGCCACGGGGCCTGCCCCAGGGCATTTCTAATCAAAAACCCAAAGAGATTTTTCCTCCTGGTCTTGATGAGTTAATTCTAAAATTCATCAGGTTGAGAAAATTTGCAGCAATCGCTGAAAAAATTTTGAATAACAAGGAAGGTCTTGGGGCTGGTCCCATGGCGTAGCAGTTAAGTGTGCGTGGTCCGCTGCTGGCGGCCTGGGTTCGGAGCCTGGGCGCACACCGATGCACCGCTTGTCAGGCCATGCTGTGGCGGTGTCCCATCTAAAGTGGAGGAAGATGAGCACAGATGTTAGCCCAGGGCCAGTCTTCCTCAGCCAAAAGAGGAGGATTGCCATGGATGTTAGCTTAGGGCTGATCTTCCTCACAAAACAAAAAAAATAAAAAAAAATAAATTAAAAAAGGAAGGTCTTCTCTGCCTGATATCAAAACATATCGTAAAGTTATGATAGAATCGAAACTTCTATCAGATAGAAAGATCAGAATAGAATCAGATAGAATCAGAATAGAATAGAAAGATCAGAATGGAAAGTCCAGAAATAGAACCATCTGTGACAAAAGTACCATGCCAAATTAGCAAAATTAGTGGGGAAATGACAGACATTGGTATCTGTTTAGGAAAAACATTAGAGCCCATATCACCCACTGTTTGTAAACATTAGTTCCAGATGGATGTGAGAGCTAAATGTAAAAATAAGAACTTCGCAAATATCGGGGAATATAGGGAACCTACTGATAACCCTGGAATGGGAAGCAAAACTCAGAATAGAGAAGCTCTGAGAGCCCAGCTGCCCAGGAGAGTGGAAGCTCCCGTAAGGCAGAGGCTGCGCTCCGTCTGCTTCCCTCCTGAGGAGCAGGCAGGGGCAGGTCTGAGGCTCTGTGTCTGTACCCACTCTACCTAACCTGGAGGAACTCTTTCTCCCTCTCTTTCCTGACCATAAGCATTTCAAAACATGTACTTACAGTTTGGGGATAAAATCTTTTCATCCCTCTGCAAACAAGTTTCCTACTCCGTTCCTTCACGTGCACTGCAAAGGGAGGAGGAGTGTGGAGTGCGGCCGAGAGGGGCGGATTCCCAGCACGGAGGATCTGATGCGCGGAGCCTCTGCCCACGAGCGCCTGGCCCAGTGTCTGTCCAGCAGTCTGCTGCTGGAGAAGGAGGAGAGCAAGAGGTGAAGCCCTGTCCCTGTAGTTCATTGTGCCCTTCAGGCTGCTTCATGCTGGATTAGCAAGGATCACAGTAACATGACTTTGTTTTAAAAAGAAGGCGAGTCAAAGGTGTACCAGGCAGAGGCAGTGCCCTAGATAGAATGTCTTAAACTGTTTTATTATTTGAAATCAATTTCATTTATTGTTTATTATTGAAAGTCAGTCTTAAGTTTGCTAGTGAGAAGTAAGTGTGGCTGGCTAACCAGGTCTGACTGGACCATCAGTGCTGAACGTGTGGCTGACCCCCGCTCTCTGCCCTCTGGGAGCCTGAGAGTATTGGTGCAGCATCCCACACTGCACGCGGGTAGGCAGCCAGAGCAGGCCCTCTGCGTCTCCCACCACCCTTGTTTATGGTTTTACTGAGACAGAGGACCAGGAAGAAGGGGGTTCACATGGATCGTGCTCATGCCTCCCCCTGCCCTGCCCCGCCTTCAGCAGCCTCCCTGCATCCAGCCTGTCCCCTCTTGTTGCTGGGGATGAACTCTCCCTTGGCTGAGGTCTCATCTCCCACCCACACAAGGACACTCGTCCAGTGACAGTCACTCTCGTGCACCATCACCTTCCCACCAGCGTACAAACATGAAAGCAAGCTGGCGTTTCTCCCTAACTTGGCCCCGTTTCCCTCCTAGTCACCACCCCCATGCTTCTGCTCCCTTAACAGTAAACTCCTTAAAAGCAGTGTGATTCTCACTTCCCCAGTCCTCTTTCCCTGTCTCTCCTCAGCCCCTCCCACCCGCCATGTCTGCTCCGGTCCGGGTCACTGCAGCCGGCACACGCTGAACTGATCACGAACCCCAGTCCCCAGCACTGTTCCACACCTTTGCTCCTTCCCTCCTGGCTCCCAGGATACCCTTAGTCTCTCTCTTGCCCTGCTAGCCATTCCCCCTAAGGCCCCCCTGCTGGTTTTTCTCCCAACTGCCTCCTCTGGATTAGCAAGGATCACTCTCTGAACCGCTCCTCTGTGTCATCTGCACCCACTTCCCAGTGATTTCATCAAGTTTCACAGATTTTACAAGAACATCAGTATTCTGACAACTCCAAAGTTATATCTCAAATCCTGAGTCCTCTGAGCTCCAGATTTGAATATACTACTGCTTCCTTGAAATCTTCACTAGCCATCTGATAGGCATCTCAAAGCTAACATACCCAAAATCCAATTCCCGATTTTCCCCCAACCAGCTCCCCCTACGGTGGTCTTCTCAGTTGACGGCAGCCCCATCCTTCTAGCAGCCTAGGCCAAATGCCTTGGAATCATCCCTCCACATCCAGTCCATCCGCAAATCCTATTGGCTCTATTCAGAATATATTCAGAGACCATTTTTGCAGTAGGCTGTAGTCTAGTCTCGGCAGATCCTGTGAGCCTTTCAGGTGTGAGGCAGAGGTCATGTTAGTCCTTTGCTCACAACCTTCCAGTGGCTTTCTCTTTCACCCTGAATCAAAGGCAAACTCCTTATGAGGTGGGCAAGGCCCTGCGTGATCTGCCTTCTATGTCCTTTCTGACCTCTGCTCCTCCCTCCAACGTGCCAGGCCGTGGTCAGCCAGGCCTTTGCATTTGCTGCTCAAGTATCTACTTCTCATGAGGCCCTCCTTGCCTGCCCCGAACCCTCCCAGTCTCCATGTCTCTGCTTTGTCTTTCTCTTCTTGTCATGTGTTCCTTGTCCATCTCCCTTCACTAAAGTATAAGCTGCTTACAGCTGGGCCTTGTCTGTTTTGTTTCAGTGCTGTGTCTCTGGGACCTAGAATGGTGCCTAGCATTTTGTAGGGCTTGATAAATATGTATTGGAAGTGTGAATGAATGTGTCATGATTTCTAAAAGTAGATTTTCCTAGGTCTGTATCATTTAACCAGTTTGGATCAGATTGTTTTTCTTGAAAAGACAAGTGTATGGAGTGGACAGCTCTGGGGTGTGTTAGGTGGCAGTAGGATATTATTTTGAGTTAATTTTAAACTATAAGCAGCAGTCCATACATTTGGACAATACGTCAAGAGATAAGAATTAATTATAGACACATAAAACCAAAATAAGCCAAACAGAAAATAAACCAAATGAGAGAATTATAAGTAATGTTAAGTAACATGTAAAAGCAGTTGTTTTTGGATTAATGCCACCTTTCTCATAAAATGTAAATTGGGTTTATAAATTAAAGGGAAGATATTAAATTTTTTAAGAAGGTAAAATTTCTGCTCAGTTGATGTCATAATAGTCCTATCCTTAGTAAAAAGCAAAGCTTTAAAAAATTTAAAGTATATATAGGAGAAAAGTGAATGATAGTTAAATTTTTGCTTCCTAATGCTCAAATGTTTCAGGTTTGAAGATCAACTTCAGCAGTGGTTGTCTGAAGACTCAGGAGCATTTACAGATTCAACTTCCCTACCCCTCTACCTTCCTCAAACTCTCCTGTCTCTGCCTCAGACTATCAAACCTGTGCTGAAAACATCTACAGCTGTTAGCCCTCAGGTGAGAAGAGAGTACATTTGGCATTTTTATTGAAATTAAAGACTGAGAAAACGGCAGGGAAAAAGTAACATCTTGATCCATCATGTGATGTATGATGACCAATAAGTTATTAGTTTAAATTAGATCTTTTCTTAAACTTCATCTGTCAGTGTCAGAGAGGCCCAACTGATTCTGAGTTTCTGCTTGTGAAATGAAGAATGGAATTGAAACATGCTTAAGAACTGAACAAGACCCATAACCGTGTGCTGACACACAGTAAGGGCATTGAGGAGAATAAGAACGCTGATGATAGTGGCTTCTGTTTATAGAGCACATACTGTCTAAGCCTTGGCAACACCCAGATATCCCGTTCTGGGATTAACTTTCCCTGAGGAAAATGAATGAATGAGGAGGGTAAGCTCACAGAAGTCAAGGGCCTTACCCAAGAGTGTTCTGGTCAGTGGCAGAGGTGCTTTTCAAAGCCAGACATGACTGGCTCCAAAGCTCAAGGTCTTTCTACCTTACCATCCTTCCTTCAGTGGTAAAAGAAGCAAAAACGGAGTTTTAATCATTGATGTATAATGCTAGATAGGTAAAAAGTATGCTCCTGAACTGGCTTTAGGAAGCCCTTCAATAGGGTCTCGAGAAAAGGGAATTAAGATGACATACTGTTTCATCACTTTGGCAGACACCTTAAAAATATTTGTACTTTTGACTTGAACAATTCTGGCCTAAAGAAATTACTATATATTACAAAAAATAATGTATTTTTGTTCACTGTAGCTTTACTTATACTGCATAAGAGTGGAAACAAACTAAATATCTAAAGATGGGAGTCTGGTTAAGCAATTACAATACATATGATGCAATAGTTCGTAGCCCTTAACAATGATATATATATATTTTTTTGCTGAGGAAGATTTGCCTTAAGCTAACTTCTGTTGCCAATCTTCCTCCACTTTGTATGTGGGCTGCCGCCATAGCATGGCCACTGAGACGAGTGGTATAGGTCTGTGCCTGGGAACCGGTCCTGGGCCGCCAAAGCGGAGTGTGCCGAACTTAACCACTAGGCCACCGGAGCTGGCCCAGACAATGATATTTCAAAAATGACTGACACTGGAGGTTGGTTAATGATAGAATCAGGAGAGAAACATTCCATGTGCAGATGATACCAGCTGTATGTGTCTGTACTGGAAGAGGCTGGAAGGATGTATGATGCATTGCCAGGAGGGGGTTTGTTGAGCCTCACAGGCCCCAGACAAGGTTTCTAACATGAGCCAGATCTAGTGCTTTTACAGAGAATAGATCTTGGTTTATGAATATATCAAAACTGTTTTTAGTTTCTTTTTTATTCAAATAGAATAAAAGGACAGGGGAGCAACTGCAGCTGTCAGAGGCAACAGACACATCTCTGACTGAACGGCTGAAGCACCTGGAAAGGCTGATCCGGAGTTCAAAGGAAGAGGAAGTTGCCTCTGAGCTCCATCTCTCTGCACTGCTGGACATGGTGGACATTTGAGCTGCTGGGCCTGAGAGAGGGAAGGTCTCTCTGGAATATTTTCTGCTTTTACTCAAAATGATGTTATTCCCAGATGCTTGATGCATTGTTGGAAATGTGATTATAAATCATGCAAAAATTGGCCCGGCCCGTGGCTTAGCGGTTAAGTGCTCGCGCTCCGATGCTGGCTGCCCGGGGTTTGGATCCCAGGCGCGCACCGACGCGCCGCTTCTCCGGCCATGCTGAGGCCGTGTCCCACATACAGCAACTAGAAGGATGTGCAGCTATGACATACAACTATCTACTGGGGCTTTGGGGGGAAAAATAAATAAAATTATTAAAGAAAATAAAAATCATGCACATAAACTATTTGAATGTCTAATAAGGTCTTACCCAGTTTTCAGAATGAAAGGCTATTTCCTCCTGTGTAACATCTTTGTTATTCTTACCTGTTTTCACCGTATCCTCAGACTGTTACTCACCAACATATGCTCTGAGGGAATCTGTAGCTCACACTTCTGTGTGTAACAAGTTGTCATTCATTGTCTCAGCAAAGTTGCAGTCCCTGATGTGCCAGGTACCAATGATGCAGGGGATGAATGAGGCGCAGGAAGCCTGCCCACCAGGCCCACTCAGCTCACATCTGAGAGAGCGAACAGAGGTACTGAGTCAACTGTATATGTACGTAGCTCTCTGAGCATGTGCACAGGTATGTGCCTGGATTGGAAGCAGAGGGAGACAAGGGGATTGAGGAGAGAGCAGAATTACTGGAGAGGAGTGCAGGGGTGTACTGGGGAAGAGTGGCACCTCCAGGTTTTCATCACATCCTTTTGGGTACAGTTTGGTAGTGTTGCCAAGTGAGGGGATAGACCAGACCACAGAGCCCTTGCTGCCTTATTCTGAGTGCTATGGGAATCAGCTGTTGGAGAATATTAGGCAGAGAAGTGACTGGGTCACATTTTCTTTTTCAGATAGCATATGGGGAAGGTCAGCAAGACAAGGCAGGAATCTTGAGAGGGAGGTGCTATAGCCGTCCAGGTGAAAGAGGAAGGGTATAATCCTGAGTTTGTTTGCTAGCAGTTGGTGTGGAAAGAAGGGATAAATTTGAGCCATATACAGAAAGAGGTATTAATAGACTTGATGACACTGAGTATGACCAATTTTAAATTGGCAGTCGGCACCTCTCTGCTGTAATCCTATATCCCCTAGACTCTGAGAAGACTGTTGCAGAACTTCTCATTCTCTTCAAAACTCCCACATTCTTAGATAATGACCTTGCTGCTTATTTCGCTGAGAAAATAGAAGCACTAGGAACAGAACTTCTTTATCCCACCACCAAATCGACTAGCTGATCCCTGCTTCCCCAAAACAAACACTATTCAAGTCTTTTAGGGATCTCTTCAGTGATTAACTTCATGTTTATCAATGAAGACTTAAATAACGCTATTTCTTAGTCTTGATTTTAGACATTGTTGATTTCCTGCACTGGAAGAGGAGTTAGCTCTCTTATACCATCCTCTCTGCAATGTATATCACACACACATATATCTACATTTCCTCTCCTACTAGTCTCCCAAAACAGCTTAATATAATGTTGACTGGAATCTGCACTCATGTGGACTGTATTAATACTGTTTGCTCTTGAACCCTGTATTGGTTTATGATTACATTTCCTTTAGGTACAACTTTCAGTTTTTCCCGGCATGAATTGCCTTGTTTTTCCATTTGCTTGGTTTTCTGTGTTCCTATCACTACTTCACCCAAAACTCTCCATTCTAGGTGTAAAGCTCCTAATTCTGTCATGTGCTAGTTCCTTTCTTTTGGAGATGACCCTCTGGGTAACCCCTGTTTTTCTGCCACGGCTTGGACATTTCCTGTCTTCTGAGTCATATGTATTCCTCTTCCCTGGTCTGCTTTCTCATTTTGATGGAGCCCATCGTCTAGCAGCCTTCTGAGCTTGCCTGTCTGAAATGTCTTTATTTCTACCCGTATATTTGATTCATTGTTTGAATGGAAATAGAATTCTAGGTTGGAAATCATTCCCCAGTGTTTTTGTTTGTTTTTTGTTGCTGGAAGTTTTTAAGATCATCTCTATCCCTGATGTTCTCAGATTTCTCAACAACATGCTTGATGTGTTGGTTTCCCTCCCTTACTCTCCTGCTTGCCCAATTTATTGTGCTGGGCACTTAGTAATGCTTTTTTCCAGTAGTTATTGCTGTGTAACAAACTACCCCCAAACCCAAACTACTCCCAATAGTAGCTTAAATCTGGGAAGGATTCAGCTGGGCAGCTTTCTCGGGATCTCATGCAATTGCAGTCAAGTATTCCCTGGGGCTGCAGTCATCTGAGGGCTTGACTCGGCTGGATGTCTGAGATAGTTCACTCATATGGCTGTCAGGTGATATTGCACTGTTGGCTGGGGGCTCATCTGGGACTTCCTTTTTTTTTTTTTTTTAATTTTTTTCCCCCCCAAAGCCCCAGTAGATAGCTGTATGTCATAGTTGCACATCCTTCTAGTTGCTGTATGGGGGACGCGGCCTCAGCATGGCCGGAGAAGCGGTGCGTCGGTGTGCGCCCGGGATCCGAACCTGGGCCACCAGCAGCGGAGCGCGCGCACTTAACCGCTAAGCCACGGGCTGGCCCTCATCTGGGACTTTCAACCTGAGTAGCTATATGTGATCTCTCCACGTGGCTTGGCTTTCTCACAGCAAGATGGCCTCGGGTGTCATACTTCTTACGTGGAATCTCAGGGCTCCAAATGCAAGTGTCCTAGGGAGCAAAACGCAAGCCCAGCTTTGGAACTAGTGCAGGATCACTTCCATTGCATTGTATTGGTCACAAGCAGTTCACAGATTCAGGGGATGGGACATAGATCCCATTTCTCAATGGGGATGAGGGTTAAGACCACATTGTAGAGGAGCATGTGAGATGGGAAGTGTTGCAGGCATCTTTGGAAAACAATCTGCCATGCTTTTTCTTTTTCTTTTCATTTTTTTTGTGAGGAGATCAGCCCTGAGCTAACATCTACCACTCCTCCTGTTTTTTTTGCTGAGGAAGACTGGCCCTGGGCTAACATCCGTGCCCATCTGCCTCCATTTTATATGGGACGCCGCCACAGCATGGCTTGCCAAGCAGTGCGTCGCTGCGTGCCCAGGAGTGCGTGCACTTAACTGCCTGCGCCACCGGGCCGGCCCCTGCCATGCTTTTTCAATTTGGAAAATTATCCACCAATTCTGGGAATTTTTTGGAATTATTTAATATGTTCTTCCCCTCCATTATTTTCCTCTGGAACTCCTAATATTCCTATGTCTGACCACCTGGATTGATTCTCTAATTTTCTTTTCCCTTCAATTTTTTACATCCTTATCTTTTTATTCTACCATCCTAAAATTTCTCTATTTTATCTTCCTATTCTAGTGACTTTTAAAGTCTGCCATATTTTTCATTTCTGAGAGTGGTTTTTCTTAATATTTCCTATTTAGAGACTCCTGCTCATTCATTTATTCAACATATCATTTTTGAGTGTTTACGATATCTCAGGCATTATTCCAGGTGCTGGGGATACGGCAACAAACAAAACAAATTTCAGCCCTCATGGGGCTTCTCTTTCAGACAGGCAATAAACAAGATAAATATGCAAAACATTTGGTATGCTAGTTGGTGATAAACATGGAGAAAAATAAGGCAGGGAGGGCAAGAGTGTGTTGGATGGTTCTTGTTTCATGGGTGCAACACCCTATTTCTGTGAGGACATGTTTTTGTCAAAGTCCTCTTCCACACCTTCATCATCTCCATTTCTCAAAATTTCCTTTTTCTGTGTTTTGCTGTCTTTCGTGGTAGAGGTTTTCCTTAAATGTCTGGCTCATGTTGACAGTGGGGCTCTAAGGAGCTTGTTGGAAGCTCTATGTCAACGGATACAGCCTGCCAGCTTCTCTGCTTTTCCACTGGGTCCAAGTTGGCCAATGTTTGCATGTCTTTTGGGGGTCTTTTGCTTTAGAGAACTCCTCCTCCTACTGCCTGAAGCTATATGGCTGAGTGGGAGAAGTGGGACTGGGCTCTTGCATGAGTATAAACTTTCACTCAAGCCTCCTGCTTTCAGTGGCCCTCAGCTATGCCTTGTGCCTGAGTTCACAACGGCTGACTCAACTGCTGCAGGCTTCTACCCAGGTTGGGGGAGGGATCTATTGTCACGCTGCTCCTTATTCAAACTTTCCACCAGTTCTCCCAACTTCTATGCCTTCCTGGGGTTCGTTGGCAAGAATGGTCTTTTTTCTTGATGGTTTCACCCCCACACACAGATTTCAGCTTTCTCTGGCTTGCTAAGTCAGTTATCATTCCCCTTTACATTCCCAGCCTCTATAATTTTGTTGATCTCTCTTGTTTACTGCTGCCTTCTCTCCCATTCTTTCTCTGTGAGTTTTTATCTCTTTTATTAATTTATGTGAGTAGGGTTTGAGTGGGAAATAGAAGTCAATGCCTGTGCTGTCTGACATGTTTAACTGGAAATTTCCCTTTTTTAAAACAAAACAAAACAAAACTCTATCACTGGGCTTTTTTCCTCACGTCTCCTGTTACTGCTCTTGTCAGTCACCAATAAATTGTCACATCTAATAAATTCTCAGACCTCATTTTACAATCCCTATAAAACCTCTGCACAAATCACCATGTCTTCACTTGGCTCCCTTGATTCCACATTCCCTTGATTTTTCTCCTCTCTCTGGGCATGACTTCTCCTCTATATTGGAAACAGTTGATGCCCCAGGGCTCATCCTGGAAACTCTTCTCTCTGGAAAAGTCATTCCTTAGTTGATCTCATCTAACTTTATGTTTTCAAACATTACCTGAAAACAGATGGTTTTCAAACATTACCTGAAAACAAATTCCTCTCTAGCCTTGTCCTTTCTCCCTGAACACCAGCCTACTCAACATATCCACTTGAATGCCTAATGGGCATCTTTGTCTTAACATGTCCCCAATCTAAGCTGAAATTTTCCCCCAAACCTTCCCTATTTTAGTAAATGACGCCATCACATCCTCAGTTGTCCATGCCAAAAACCTGGACACCTTCTGTATCCAGTTTATTGAACAAGGTGGAATTGGTAGGGTGCAAGCAGAGGGAAGGATTGTCTTGTCTCATGACTGTTTTTAGAAACTCTTATCTATGAATTCTTAGTTTGATTTATAGTTTTTTTCCTTTCTTCTTAGATATTAAAAAAGAGACGATTATTATTTTTCTCATAAAAATTCCAGTCCAGTAAAATATCAAAACTCAAACTCTGCTCCAGTTGAAACCTCTTCCCTCCTTTAGCTTGGTAAGACTCAGGGTTTGAGATGTCCATGTAGGCTGAAACCCTTATTCCCACTCTTTGTGTTTCCACATGGAGGGACTTTCCTGGAAAAAATTTCCAGCCTCTTTTCTACTCCCAGGGGAAGTGTGAATTGGTGAATTTGGGAGAACAGATAGGGTCAAGTGTGCTCAGGCTCCTCTGGGTACACTTTGTGGACTATGTAGGCTGATGGGCATCTTCTCATCGGCACTTAGCTGCCTGGTGTTTCGGGGGGGCAGCTCTGTAGCCCAGAGGCTGCAGTGGTCCAGCTGCCCCAGAGGCTGGGAGGTATGTTAGTCTGATTTAGGGGTGGATCAGTAGCTAGCTGTCTTGGTGGCAGATCTAAGCCACATCCTCTAAACTAGCCTTTTATCTGGGGCAAGGCTGGTATATCGATATTCACTCATCTTATTGATGTGTCTTCTTCACTCGTTTCTGAACTGGGATGGGAAGAGGCAAGGGTCCTTAACTGACTATCTAAAACCCCGATACTCCATTAGGAGGAAGGAGTGCGTATGTGTTTTTTCTTTTGCAAGCCCCCCGACTTTCCCCTCTGCCTTGCTGTGGTTCATGGGCATGGGGTAGGACTCAAGGGATAGGTACAGAAACGCTCACTGGGCCGGGGTAGTTGTAACGTGATGTCAAGTCTTCTGAGGGGTAGATGAGGAGATGCTGGGGCCATCTGTGGGCTCCTGGAGAAACGCCTTTGGGCCTTCTTCTCCTCCATGTCGGCACTGTTTCCTCTAGTTAGATGCTCTCAAGTTTCCCCTCCGTCCTTGGTTTCTGCTGTACACGCCTGCAGGCCCCTCTGCCCCCTACCCCTACCCCCACCCCCAGCTGTCCCTTTCAAGCTTGGTCACTTGCTCTGCCTCCTTTCTGATTCCAGCTCAAGACAAGGTTGACATAAGGGAAGCCATATTGTGGAAAAGCAGCCCTATTTTAACTCTGAATGACCTCTGACTAACCAACCCAGCTGGATCTGCACCCTCCAGGAGATCTACCTGCTCTGTAGATTTTATGACCCCTGTTTGTACACATACCTCCCAGCTGCAATAAGATAACTTTGTTCTTTTGAGTTCCTTAGGAATGTGATGACCCCTGAATAGAGAGTCTATGCTGATAGCCATCATCAATGAAAACTGAAAGATCTGGTGTGGCACTCCCAGTCTGTAACACCAGAAGGTCAACATTCCTAACCCCTCCCCTATAACCCACTGGCCTTTATAACTGCTGTAAGATTTCCTGCCCCCTTACGATGGTTCTTTTGGACACGAGTCGGCCATCTTCCCTCTTGCTAGCAAGCTGTAATAAACTGCCTTTCTTTTCCACCATCTTGCCTCTTGACGAGTGGCTTCTGTCTCACAGCCAGCAGATCCTGCCCTTTGTGCAGTAACATCTCTCTCTCTTCCCTCTATTGTCAAGGGCTTTCACTTTTAACTTATTCTGGGTACCCCAAAATTCCAAGGACCCCTCTGAGTGGTTGAGGCTCTGGGTGCGTCTCCTGACGCCCTTGCTTGGCCCTCTCCCTCCCCTGGGCTGGGAGGCTCTTGGCGCCTGTGGGCCAGTTAGGCCTTGGGGGCCTCCCTCACTAGCCCCATCCCCATGGGGGGGAGCCTACCGTCCCCTCACCGCCTCTCCGAGAACCCTTCGCTGCGGTCAGGGGGGCCCGCCGCCCGCGCCGGACCTCCCGCCTTCCATCTCTCCTCACTCAGCGCCAGCCAGCCGGCCTCCCGGCCCTTCCTCAGGGGCGCAAGCTCTTCCCCGCTCCGGGCCTCTGCCCTCGCCGCCACGTCTGCCCGAGCCTCGCTCCCCGCCCTCCGGCCTCGGCGGACCCTCCTCAC